TTGGGTCTAATTAGGCGGCTGGGAAAAACTCACTTCAAATTTGCACCATCCACCTTGAATGCCAATTACCAAATTGCCATTACAGTGAGTCGAATGTTTCCCAATCCAGTCTGCACAGCTGTTGACAGAGCACGGCACGCTCAATAAATCAACGCACAACTTGAGGACAACAACGACAACAACAACTCCTACAACAACACCTACAACAAACCCTACAAGAACACCTACAACAAACCCTACAAGAAGAACAATTTAACAGGCTGGCGGGCAGGCAACTGATTTGTTTGGTTTACGATTTCGGAAATGCCGTCGTAATGGTTTAACGCGTTCGAGGCGCAGACAGACGACGTTGCCCAAAACAGGAATTCCTTTGAAAAGGAGCGAACGCAGGTACTCGAGTACTTGATCTGGTCTAAATATAAATTTGAAAATGCGAGAACGAAGATCGGCATGCAGAACGAAGATCAAGTCCCTGAAACACATTGCCTGAGCGGAAACTCAATTAGGGATGAAAAAAGAGAAAGAGAGAAGGAGCGAGAGAGAGAGAGAGAGAAATGAGAGAGAGAGACTGGATTGAGCTACCTAACTGATGTTAACCCTCTGGCTGAAATTTATGTACAGCGCTGTACATAGCTAAGTTATACACTCAGAGAAGCAGAGCTCTAAATTTAAGGAGAAGAATTCATAGCAACATGGTCACCTCAATTTGTGCTTGATTTCGAAATCTATATATTACAAAAATAATATCTCACTGCAAGTTATCAAATACAGACTCAAATTGCACATCTTTCGAGACTACAAAAACAAACTTGAAATTAAGAATATCATTCTCTGATCTAAGAATATTTTACATTATTTGAGTACAACATTTTCTGTTTTTTCCAAGTGTAAAAGGTTGAGCCAAAAACAGATCGGAGAGAGAGAGAGAGACAGGGCCAAAGAGAGAGAGAGAGAGAGAACAGTGTACGACCCCTACGGGTGGTTGGGAATGGAATCACATCTCGATGCTGTCTCAGTTTGCATTTTGAAAGAGTGACGCGCACAACAGAGAATCCTGCAATAAACTACTAAATAAAACGTGTGATTTTTGAAAACATGAAATTCATTATATAAAAAAAGCAATAAACCAAAAAAAAAAAAGGACAGAGAAGAACGATAAATGGAGCGACGCAGAGCATTGAGCACTTATACCAAGCTCAAGGAGCAGAAGCAGCAATCGGAGAACAGCAGAGAGAACGGCCCTCATTTTGATGATGATGATGATGATGATGTTGATGAGGAGGATGAGTTGCCGTCTCTGCGTCGCTCGCATTCGGTGCGTGCCTCGCTGCGGCGTCTCAAGAGCAAACTGCACAGCCCCGCGCTGCCGCTGCAGTCACCCTTTAAGCTGCGCGCCCATTTGCATTCGCGCAGTCGCAACATCAACAGCAGCAGCAGCAACTGCCACAGCAGCAGCAGCAGCAGACGGCTCGACAAATCGAAGGCAGTGAAAGCGTTGCGTTTTTGGCACGAAATCGAAGCCGTTGCCGTCGTTACGACCAAAGTGAAGGGCAAATTTGTGCCACTGCGCAAGCAGACCATGCAGCAGCAGTCACATTCTGCTGCGGATCAGGTGCTGGGCATTGAGCAGCTGATGTCCTCGCTGCCAGTGGGTGCAACGTTGCCGCGCAAGGCGTGCAAGCTGTTGCAAATACCGGAGAGCTTGTGTCAGCGGTCGCAGCTGGCGCCACAAGCCACACTCGACTCGGATCTGGAGCGCACCCTGACCAGTGAGTCACCAAATGTGACCAGCTGTGATCCAGTTCTGGCCGATATCACACGGCACGCCCACCAAGGCATCTATGGCACAACACGCATGCGAACGGCAACCATCAGGAAACCGATGCCCTATTTAAACAGTCGTAGGTGTTTGTGAATACCCATTCCAATAATGTGAATACCCATTCTATTCATATTTATGCAGTGATAAATAAGCGTGGATTTCCCATCGAGTGCTCAATTTTATAGGCTGTGAATCTTCAACATTTTGATTTTGATTTGTTTTTTTTTTTTATTATTGCCGCCTCCAGTTTTTTAGTTGTTTTTTTTTATTGTGCTTCTATTTTGTTTTCGATTGCCCAAAACTGGGTCACTGAACTCTGGGCCGGGCAGTCAGGCCAGTTTTCAACCGCTTGAGATTCTGAGAATAAGTTTTTATTCAAGGGTTGTCCTTGGAATTTGATGACATCAAAAGGAGCGCTTGTTAACATTTTGCTCTTTTAGATTAACATAATGTATTCTCTCGTTTCGAGTCGCCTTAAACTGAGAAACGCTCGATTTACAATTAAGATTATACCCTTTTATATCCTTGCAGGGGGATTTACACTCAGTTACTCATTGAAGAAGGCATATTACTATTTTGCCTACCCGCCAAACTCTCTAAATGTATAAAAATAATAGCAAAACAATACACACAAAAATAACTCAATTTGAATGTCAATTTGTGTATTAGCCACGATTAAACTGAAACTCAATTAAATAATATAGTTTCCTCAATTAATTAAAATGAATGCTCGTATTTTGATTATGGCCATATATCATGGCTAAGCAAGGACATCAGTAACGTCAGCTTGGTCATATGGCCAACTAATAACCTAAATGGCTAAAATTACAATTACGCTTTCATAATTACAACACACATATCATATATATATATACATATGTATATATATATTTGGGGAAAGGGAAAGGGATTCAAGTAGTAGTTGTAGTTGTGGTTAGCTTATTTTGAGCTTAAATGCACAAATTGGAAATTATTCGCACGTGTTCATGTAATGTTGCAGATGCTACCACAGCAGCAGCAATGATAGCAACAACAACAACAACAAAGACAACAAAAAGAGTCCAGCCGCCTCCATGCCGCAGCAGCAGAAGCTGCAGATGGGCAGCTGCCTGCGCTCCCCGGGGCAGTTCATACGCCAGAAATCGTTTCACACGCTCAACGAGCTCACCAAATTCTGCCAGCTAAAGACGCCAGCGTCGGCAACGGCAACGGCGAGGGCAGCGGCAGCGGCAGCAACGAAAAAGTTGCAGCCTCGCGGTCATTATGCCATCGATGGTAAGCGGAGTAGCCGAAGCATCCACTCACTCCATCCGCCCACCCACATACATGTACATCTGCCCGCTGTACTTGTGTACATGTATGTGGGCCAATTAAGACCTGGCCTCCAAAATCGCTCATAGCTAATTAAATGGTTTGTGGGCAGAGGGGCAGTAATTAACAGCTGCGGGTGGGTGCACTCAGAGAAATATATCATGTACCTGGTATTTAAGACAAAAAATCGCCAAAAATCGCACGTCTTTTTTTGAAGACTACATTTCTGTGTCTTGTTAATTTATAAGTTATAAAGCAGTATGAAAGAAAGAAATTAGAGGTGTTTATAATTTTCAAAATATATTTTTAGTATCAGTTATATTTTTCTTTAAAGAAATGTGTTTGTTTTTGTATAACTAAAGCATTTCAACTTTTTATAATTTATCCATCATTTAGAAATCTATTGCCCCATTAAGTAGTCAACAGTTAAGAAATAATTATTTTAATTTATATGATATTTTGAAAATGTTGAACACCTTTAGTTTTTGGATAAAATTTAATTCTATGGCGATTTTCCTAATGCTAATACATATATTTTTTTCTGAGTGTGGTTGGGTGGATTGTTTAGTTAGTTAGGTGGTTGGCCGCTTAGGTTAGGGCAACGCTGCCTGGCTGCGATCTAATCTAGCGATGCTTTAGTGCATGGCACGCACTCATTACACACGTAACACACTCACACACACATACACACACACACACACATATTTACTTATATAACACATCGCTGAATCGTTGTGCATAATTAATTTAATTGGCTTTTGGTCATTCCACATACAAAGCAAAAGGCAACAGGCAAACAATGACGAATTTAAGCGGATTTGTGAATAATATTTAATTAATTGCAATTGCTTGCAATTATTCAGCATATCCACCACATAAATAACTACAAACAAAAAATCTACATATATATATATATGTATATATATATATATCTAAATATAAATCGTTTACATCGGGCTTTAGTTGGTTAATTACATTTGTAAATATTACTTATGCTTACTTATGCAAACTATCTATTTAACTTTTCATTTGTATTAAAACGCATTTCATTTATCCCTTTTTATTTAATTCGATTTCTATGATTTCTCATTCCCTTTCCTATTCCCCAACCCAATACCTACCCCAAACACAGACAATATTTTGCCGTCGCCAACGCGTGAAAGTGAGTTCTTTGAGCCGGTTCAATTGCGCGTTAAGGATCAAGGGAATAACTGCAAGGAGAACAACAATCAGGATAACTATTCCAGTCACTATCCAGCCGCGTTGCTATCGCCGCCAAGCAGCACCTTTCGCTGGTCGGAGCAGCTGACACAGCATGCGGCAGTAGCCAAGCTACGCACTGCCATTTCATGCCACAGCCACGATCTGCGAGAGATGGAATTCCTCTTGCCACAGTCGCAGCAGCAACAGCAGCAGAAGCAGCAAGTGCCGCCAAACAACCAGCTCAATTCCGGTTCACAATTGCGCATCTCGCGCCACTCACAGCCCAAGAATGCTAAGCTGCGCGACGAGCACGAGGATCACGATTCACCCGACGAGGAGGTTGACCTACGTGGACATTCACCCATCGATGAGAACAGATCGAGCAATGTGCTTTCGGTGCATCGACAGCCGGTGCAGTTGCGCTCCAAGATCGCTGGGAATACACAGCATCCGCGTGTCAGCAAAATGTCCAAGAAGCAGCTGAAGCTGGCCCAGGCCCAGCTAGACAAGCTCACCCAAAGCAATCTCCACTTGCATGGTAGGCACACGTCGTCGTCATCGTTGCGCTGCTCGCTGCTCGCTTTACCATTGAAAACTTATTCCTAACTATATAAAATTCTGATTATTTGGGTATTAATAATGGTTTCTTTTACTTCTTTCACAGCTCTCTTTTCGGCCGTCGAACAGGGACATCTGGACAAGGCACGCACCATACTCGAATCCACCGATGTGGACGTCAATAGGTGAGTTAAGGAATGTTCTTTTAAGTTAGGATAGGCGATGCGGGCTTTGAGTTTGTAGGGTTTCTAAGGTAGAGTAGAAGAAGGCTGAAGGTTCAATTAAATGTTATTCCAAGAAGTTCCATTAATCTAACCAAGGCTTTCTCAGAGATCTGTCATTAATTGTCTGGTTCTTTGATCTTAGTCTAAGAAACATTAAGATTCTTTCTTGCTAGGCTATATTTTATGATTGTAATAGTTTAGAGATGTAATCAATTATTTAAAAGTGCTCTTGTACAACTTCAGAAGGGAAAACCCAGTCAGATTTCTTCTTGCTCGTTGTAGTAATCTATATCTATATATATCTGAATATATATCTTTATATCTATCGATCACTGTAGTAATCTATATCTATAGCGCTGTTGGTCCTAATTCTAACATCTGTCAATTTATCCACAGCATCAATACGGATGGGCTCTCAGCTTTGGATGTGGCCGTGTTGAGCAACAATCGCTCCATGACAAAAATGCTGCTGCAGCATGGCGCCCTGGAGGGATCACAGTGTAAGCGGCATTTGCATATTGTACAGCTCTAGATATATACACTATACATATATATATATATATGATTGCTAATCGTTGTCAATTTGTGGTCTGCAGTTTCCGTTGATAGTATTGGCACCAAGCTGAACGGCCTGCTCAAAGATGCCGAGTCACGCATCCACGATCTCAGCGGACAGGAGGGACTATGTGCGCCCGTCTTCACATCGCGGCCCTCCATATCCAGCATCATAATTGGTTTGTAGCCACTCACTTTAGTCATAATTGGGACAAATTCTTAAGTGGTTCCGTTGCAGGCAATACGGGCTCATCGGTGACTGGTTGCACGGGCAACGAGGTGGACAAGCAGATTGGCATCTGGGAGCGTCGTGTCAAGGGGCTGCGACGCATGCTCCTTGGCTGGGATCAGGCGCGACCACCAGATGCGCCCGCCTCCGTTGTGGTCGATGTCACCGGCGACAATTCCATCAGCTTGCAAATACTCGAACCCTTCGAGGGCGCCATTGGCACAAAATTTAAAGGTAAACCACCGGGCCCGGGCGCAGTTTTGTGGTCCCACGAGACTTGCCCACTTATATGTGTAGCTTGTGTTGTGTTGACATGTTCGTTTCGTCATTTGCCACAGTTCAATGGTCAACACGCGCGGACTTTAACAATGTGGTCGGCGAGCGGGAGCTGCTCGAGTGGATTAGTTTCCATGGCACCATGGGTGCCCAGTGTCACATTGCTGGCCTCACCCAGGGACGACGCTACTTCCTACGCGCCGCCTGTGGCAATGTCAAGGGCTGGGGCGGCTATCGCAATTCAGTGCCCGCCAGCGTTGTGCCCTCAAGTGAGTAACAAAAAATGCGCGTGAGGGGTGAAAAGGGATCCGAGCAGATGCCCTAAAATATTTAGAAAGCCAGTTGTTTTAGCCCAAGGCTTAAATATTTAATGTTGACTCTTTGACTCACTGAAATTTGCCAGCTATGTGAATACTGCATTATTGATTGCAGGATGTTGATGCTGAGAAATTAATAGCAATTTAGAGCTCTTAATGCAATTGAGGATTTAATAAAATCTAAATCTAAATGTGGTATTCATAGTCCTGATAAACTGGCTTGTTAGTAATTGTAATATTTATTATAGAAATATGTCTGACCACATTGAGTATGCATTGATAGCCGATATATCTTCGTTTATTATTTAATGCAACGAGAATTTGATTTGAAGCTTTTATGTTTTGAGTATTTAATTGAAGTTAAAAGTTCTTTCTTCTAAGAAGCCTTTTAAAATAAATTTAATGTTACTTTAGAGTAAATTTTGGATTTATTTATGTGTACTCATGTGAACTTTAATGGATAATCTGCGATTGCAATTATTTCAGCTTCAAAATTAATGAGTGTAAATTAAAAATTGTGCAAAAGAAGGTAACAAGCAGAGGGATCCCATAAAGTTTTATACACTTGAATAGCAACAACAGCCGAGTCGACTTTGTGAATGGTCCAGAACATATTCTCATACTCAGATCTAATTAATATCAGGAAGCATTTTCAGTATATAGTTTAGGGTATCTCCTAGTCTCTATTAGCACTCGTACTTACTTTCTATAATTTGAAACTCTATAATTAATTTCTCGACTTCCCTGCTTAGCTTGGCGTGACTTGGATAATCGCGAGGATCGTTTCTCTGGCCGGCAGTGTATACTGGACAATCTGTTTACCGCTGTGCGTTTGGCTCGACCTGCAGATGTTTCGGAGCTGACACTGGATCCGGGCAACGTGCAGCGACGCAATCCCAAGAAGAAGACCACCATCAAGCAGCTATTCTCGGTCACCTCCAAGTTCCAGAAGACGCTGCGACGGTGAGACAGTATATCCCTTTTAATTCTTATACATATACATAATATATTTATATATATATCAATCTGTTGCACAGCGGCATTTACTTCTCGTGCATTGTGCACTGCGATGACAAGGTGCTGGTGACCAGCGAGGACTTTCCGCCCGTCATCGAGATCGATGAATCGTATCCGAGTGCTTTGCACATGGACTACTATTGGCTGATGAAAGTGGCCTGTACGTGGGACGATGTCAAATCGTTGCGCTCGGATATGGAGAGGAATTTAACATCGCCGGTGCACTTTCGTACCAAGCTGCTGTCGGCTGTCTGCCAGATGCAATCGGCACTGGGCATCAGTGATCTCGGCCAGCTGTATTATAAACCGTTGCGGGATGCCCAGGGCACTGTGGTGCTGACCTGCATTCAATCGGTGAAGAGCCAGAAGGCTGTCTCCATACTCAACTCACGCTGGCTGCCAGTCAGCAAGCTGCAAAAGAAGCTGGGCACACTGCACGAGGATTGCAACATGAACGAGCTGCTCATCTCGAGCATTGGCGATCAGTTGCATTATCAGCAGGCGGCGCTGCAACGTCTGGAGCCCGGTCTGTATTTGGGATACCTCAAGATGCAGTGCTCGATGGATCAGATCCAGGTGGTTGTGCCGGTGAAGACGCCCAATGTGCTGCCCCACTGCAAGGTGCGCGAGAATAGTCACATTACCGCCGAGGAGTGGCAGGTGCTGCATCAGGCCCGCTACGCCGCCGATCCACTGCGTCTTCCTCTCGATTTTAATACAGCCGGCGATGGCAATGGGAATAGGTCAACGACGGAGGTGCAACGACTCTTCCTATACGATCTCAGTACGGCGATGCACAAGCTGCTTGCTGCCATGAGCATTAAGTCCACAGATGCGGCCACACATCGCCTCTATGACGTGGAGGTCATCGAGCACAGTCGCGACATTAGCTTCCTCATTGTCTGTCCATCCGTGGAATCCTCGTGCGCCGTGCCCGGCCAGTCGGAGTTGCTGCTGCAGCGTGACGATCTCGCCAGCCTGAGCATCCAGGCCTTCGAGATGATCCATCTGCGCACCTACCAGCCGGCCATTGTGCACAAGTATGCGCGGCTCTCCTGCATCCTGGAGTTAGACACGGCGCTGGCGACGCACTCGCATCGTGAGGCCTTCTCCAGCAGTGAGCTGCAGGCGGCCAAGGAGCGTCTGGCCACGCTACAGGATCTGAGCACGAACCTGACGCTGGTATGGAAGAGCGTCCGCTGGCTGATGGATGTGGTGGCCTATGCCCGCAATAAGAACGCCCAGCCAGCTCTGCCCATGCGCGAAATTCTCGAGTTTGCCCAGCTGCGTCACGAGGAGTCCACTCAGCAGCTGCTGCAGCTGCCGTTGCGCGACAGCAAGTTTAGTAAATCGGGCCGTGGCAGCTGGCCGGGACCAGGTGCCAATGAGGATAAGAGCAGGCACGGCAAACCGGAGCATTCCAAGTCCGAAACGAATCTGGGACATGGTGTCGTGACTCCAAGCTTAGCGCAGCCATCGCCGCTGGATGCAGGTGATAAACAGCTACCACAACAACAAGACCAACAGGAGCAACAACAACAGCAGCAGCTGCAGCAGCAGCAGCAACAACAGTTGCTCCACGTGGCTGGCAGCGAGTATGCCGGCTCCACTTGCTCGGATGTCTCGCTGCGCAAGAATAGCGGCGATTCTGTCAGCTCCGCTTACACCGCACGCAGTTTCTACTCCGTCGCTGATTCGGCTTCAGATGGCAGCAGTAGTGTGTTCGCTCTGCCACCCTCCCGCTCCGATGATACGTTGGCGGATGCACTGCGTCATTCACAGGCGGCGACGGTGCAGCGTAAGCGCACTGTCTCCCACATTGGCTCGATACCCACGCCGCTGATCACCGTGCATAGCTCCAGCTCTGTGCCGTATCTGGCCGGCTCCAGTGTGTCGCTGAGAACGGGCAGCGGTGCCTTTGCCACCGATCTGGAGCACAAGCCACTCAAACCAGCTGCGGAGTATAAGGTGAAGGCGGCATCCAGTGCCAATCTTCGCGAGGGTGGACTCTATCTGAAGAGCTCTCTGTCGGCTCTCCAGCCGGAGCTGAAGCCACTGGGCAGCGAACCGGTCGCGAGCACCTCGAAGGCATCCTCAACGAAGAGTCTGGCGCATCAGAGCAGCGAGGAGGACACCGCCAGCTGTTCCAGCCTCAATGCAGAGCAGAGCGCCACCGGCACCGTCACTGGTGCCGGCATCATTCAAGTGTATACCGCTTACAACACGGGTTTGGCCAGCGGCACCAGTCTCAAGTTGCACGTGACGCCCAAGACGACGGCGCGCGAGGTGATCAATCTTGTGGTGAAGCAACTGAACATGGCTGCCGTGCTGAAGGGCAGCAAAGGACCCATCTACAGTGCCGATATGCTGGACAACTTTTGCCTCGTCGCCGTCATTGGCGCCCGAGAGCGTTGTCTGCGCGACGACTTTAAGCCGCTCCAGCTGCAGAGTCCCTGGAAGAAGGGTCGCCTCTATGTGCGACAGAAGCACGAGCTTCTGGCTGCCATCGAGCACTCCAATCGCAAATCACATCTGATTTAAGCTACAACTTGAGAATAGGCTTGTGTACAGTAGTCGCTCGAAAATGAGAACACTTCTGAATTCTGAGAAATTCCTCATAAAAGATACGATTTATAATAATTTCAAAATATTATTCGAATTCCGAAATTACTTATTCCTACTTTGCTTTCCTATAATGTAGTAAATTAAACGATATCTGCTCGAAAAATCGAAATTTGAAATTCAAAAATTCGATTTCAATAAGAAACAGATTTGGCATTTATAATTAGTAGCGACTACTGTGCATGAAATATTCTTGCAACAACAAGTTTCCGTTACTCCCCTACACACACACACACACACACAAATATTGTTGGCTTCTTGATTTGGTTCTTGCTTTATGGGACTCTTCGCGGTTCCCAGCCAAGTTTGACGACCAATTCCCCAAATTAGACTGAATTACTTACATATGTATGTTAAAAATATGATGGAAAGATAATGATATGAAATCGCAATGAAATGGTATTATATTTTGAATAGTTTTTACTTTATATACAAACACACACACGCAGACACACACACATAGATACACATACATATATACCCAAACATATGTAAATAGAGGACATAATTGTTGTTAGTTGTTTTAGAAGACGGTTAATTATAAGTGCAACAAATTACACCAATATTATAATGCATATATTAAATATAGTTTATGTACTTTATTGTACGATATATATATATATATATATTATTGATATATATGTATGTATTTTTGTAGTTTAGCAAACAAAATGTTTTGATTGTATTTTGTGGCATTTTTAGGCGCACGGATTTTTTAATAAACCAATCTTAATGTTGAATCGAACAAAAATTATTATAAATTATGAATTGAACAAATGTCAATATACAAATCTTAAGTGTAACTCTCTCGATGTGTGTATGTATGTGTTCTTCATTATATATATATATATATGTATATATATTACCAATTCCAATCGGATTATACAAATACTATATAGCATATATATATATATATATATTTTAGCTGTAACAATTCGCATAGTTTTCTAGATGTAAACTAAAAACTGAATAATAGAATGCAAATATTTTTGAAAAATATATTGGCACAATTAATTGTTGACAACAAAAAACAAAAAATAGACAGAGAACAAAACACAGATAACAAAATTACATTGTTGTATTTCAATTGTAGTAGAAAACATGCAAAAACCTTGCAATCGAAAATGTTGTTTGTAAAACTAGTCCACAAATGTTTTGAGCTAAGCATGTGAATGAATTTGGTTCTTGAAATACAATTCCGTTGCTTGTTCTAGTAAGTTCAAACGTGCCCCTAGCTATACGCATATATCAGCGTTATTCAACCCGATCCATAAAACTGACACACTAAATACCCAAAAAATTACCGATATTTCGGTAGTCAACTTTGCTATCCATGTGTGTGCAAAGTGGTAAATGTCTATTACTTATCTATATACATATATACCCTGTAATCTTACATACTGTATGTGTAAACTAGCTGAAATTCTTCGAATCTATGTCTTTACTGTAAGCTAAACGTCAAATTTTCCCTTTCCCCTTTCAAAATGATGTTCTATGTAGCTAGAGGACATAACAACGATAGACGAGCAAAACTTACATTAGACGGCAAAGTTAATTAAAAAGAAAATAACATAATAGAATTAAATGAAAAAGAGTCCATTAATTAATTATAATATTAATACTTGAATCACTTATGATGAGACTACGACCAACACAACAACAAAAGGATGTGTAGAAGATTTTGTTTGCTTTTTGTAATTGTAAATATTTATTCGATTTGAAAATGTCAGGAAAATTTTTGATAAACTTTTTTATTATGGGTTCTACCGATAAAAAAAAATCCCAGAGGCAACGAACATAGCTAGGAAATAGCTTAAGCCACGCCCCTCCCCCCTCCGCCTACCCAAACAATGCTCATTTCAGACCTGACTAAAACAACGAATTAAATAATTATGTTAGTGTATTTAGTTATTGTTGTTATTTAGTGCGAGGCATTAAACAATCGGTAAATTAAATTGTCGAACAAGTCGCCGTCCGTCCCCCAAAAAAAATAAAATAAAAGAGTAGATCGGGTTTGGTTTCGTTGAGAGACCAACTTTTACAGAGTATTATTTGATGCATTTGCTATATGATATGGTGAGAAGATATATATATATATATATATATGTTTATGACGCAATCTAATTGTAACTATTTAATTAAGATGTTAAAGGTCGCATACACGAGCATACTCACACACACATACACATACACATACTAATTATAATGTATGATAAATGTTAGTAGTATAGATGAAAATGTCTTTAGACTAAAGAAAAATTCCCACAAAAAAAATTACACACACAGAAAAACTCACACTCGTAGTAAATTCGCGTATAATGTATAAGATAGAAAAGTTCTTATCAAGTGTAACTCCACATTAACTGCATGTTGTTATACAAATACAATCCTAAACGATTCCGTGTGTATTTTTGGTGTCTGTTAACTATGTACAACAACAAAATGAAAAAGAAAAAAACAACGCAAAACGCAAAACAGCCATTTAAATTATATCTGAGAAGAAACAGATGGTTTAGCTAAGATATAATATTGATCGAAATGTGAATACAAAAGGAAACAGAAAAAAAAACAGACAAGATGAATACTTATTCAATTAATTTAAATAAAGACTTAACAACTGTTATGGTGTCATTTCAAAAACAACCATATTTGTTAGTGTGATTACCACTTGGGGGGGTATATGTTAGCTTAAGGTAAATTTTATGTCTCGAAATAGTTTGAGAAATGACTCGAGATTCAAGATAAGCATGAGGGATTTGTCAAGATTCTATATCGCAACTCTACACTCCGAAATAAAATTGCGTTTCTGAAAATTTCGAATAGGAAATAGAAGTAGGAAAAATATTGAAATGGAATATTTATTAATTAATTATTAGGTAATTATTTAGAAAATGATTCTTTTTATTTATTTATATATTAGGGTGATTTTGATTTAGCAGTGATTTACTACTAGATTCTTATTCCAGCCCATATAATTTTTTATGAGTGATTTGTGTGTGATTTACATTCATGTATATATAATTTGTGTAATACTAATCACATAATCAATATTAATACTTAGTAAGAATATTCTTAACATCATCAATAATAATAATATGCATACGCTCGTTGAGATGTCGACAGACATTTAATCTAGAATTGATTGAAATGAAATTCACCTTATGCGTTTGCAAATCTCAAATTGTGGCTCATCGTCACACACACAACTGCGAACTGATAGGGGACTAATTACTTCATATCACAAATTAGCTGATAACACACACATACATGCACATATACATATATGTATATATATATATATATATATATATATATATATACATAGCACTTCAGACTCAATACCCTATGCATCACGCATGGCATTTTATCTAATAATTTCCTTGGGAACTTTTTCACTTGTCATCGTGCGTCATTGTTTCCATCGAACAACAGTGACGAAATTGCCCCAAACGTTTTCCAGACCCTTCGACTGGAACTAAACTGGAACACACATACACCCACACAAAGATGCACAGGAAGATCACTATGTGTTAGTGTGTGCGTGTATGTATTTATGTTGTCTGACTCATTCGCACGCTATATGCCTATCTCGCTCACACCTAATGGCTAGAAACGCAAGTCACGACGACTTCGCAGTCGCTGTTCTGCTGCCGATGATTGTTTTCGATATTCGTTTTGTTTTCAGACACACACATATTTTTCGAGTTTTTTTTGTTTTGTTTGCGGGATATTTAATAATAGAGAAATGTTCGTAGGTGGATTTGTATGTGTACTGCTGCATATCTTTTAATTAACTGAATTTCACCACAAGTGGACAATAATAATTTGCATATTTACCAAAGCCAATAAAGGCTTTTGCTTGATTGGTCAAATGACTTGTCCACTTGTGCCTAATTACAAATTAAATGCCGCACATAAATACATGCACATGTACATGTATGTATATGCGTATATATTTGGGTACATTTCTGGGAAGCTATAACGACAGATAAAATGTGCTACACTCATGCTTATATATATGGCATGGCCATAAAGTTCAAGTGCTTGTTACTGATTAAGGTACAAATAAATCATTTGAAAGATTGTTATTATTATACGTTACGTATTCATATTCGGAGACACTTGAAATATTTTCTCATTTGCACTTCCTGCCGCAGCAAGATAGCATCAAGTGGGCAATATATTCAAAATTCCTGCACTTGTATGTGCTGTGCTGCATGCCTAATCCCGCTGTGCCACTGCAATAAACAAATCGCGCGATTACGATTATTAATTTAAATTAATGACAAGCCAACAGTATCAGCTCAGCCACGTGATTCTCTCTGCAGTCAAACTATTCCAGACATATGCCTAGGCATGGCTCATGTCTGACTTTCAAAGAAAGCAGAGATCAAGTGAAGCGATCGATTATACTAAATTACTCACAAATGCTAAAGTGTTGTCGTTGTTGTTGTTTCTTATGTACATACATAAATACATGTTTGTTTTTTTGGTATGCTACAGTGTTCTCTCGATATTTATAGCATTGATTGTTTAAATTTAAATTGGCATTCTTACTTAATCTAAAATTAACAAATTTTAATCGTTCATCTTTTTATATGTCAACATAAATTTTTGAAACACTAATCAAAGAAATTAGAGATTTGTGGTCGTGCCTGGAGACACCCTCCATCATCCCCCCCTCCATCCTCTGCGACGAAAAACCGGTTGTAGGCCGTTTACTTGATATTATCATTTGTTTTTTTAAATTTAAATGCATTAATTAATTTCTACACCGAAATAGCTCTTAGCGAGTATTCATCGTTTTGTATAGATATATATATATATATATATGAATATATATTACATGTGGTACATCAACTAACTGACGTATACTTGATTTACAGGCCGCACACAAACCGGTTACAAAATTCCGCCTCAATTATTTATACTTACCATGCATGCTGACCACAAGCTGAAAATGGTCGATAATGGGAATAGGAATAGGCGAATAGTCATTAACAATGTAATTAGTTTGTTTCAGAGACTGTTTATTTTCTCTCGAAAAAATAGTATAGCAGAAAAAAACTGTTCACAATCAAATCGTTTCAAAGAGCGCACATTAAATATATGTAGTATAATTAATTACGGGTGACTTTCTGTTCTCATCTAGGGTTTTGTATAACAAACAATAAGTACAGTAGCACATACATACATACAGACATATACAGCCACTACACACATATAATGTATATGTGCATAAACTATACACTAGAAAATTCAGCTCAGCTTTTGATGGCCAGCGCGATTTACGTGCTCAATTATTGGCTCGGCTCGGCTTGGAGGCACCAACAATGTAACCCTTGGCAGTGAGAACACCACGACAACGGACATAGACCTGGTAGCGCAGTGACCAATCGATTGTATAGCCGGGCGCCAGGAAGGAGAACCGTTCCTCGGGCAGCAACAGTTCGGGATCACTGTGTGTGTTGAGGACCAGCTCATGATCACGACAGAATTCCTGCAATTCCACGGGGACCACACAGCAGGCGGCCAGATTCACTTGTGCGATGGATGGCGCCACCTCCGATGTTTTGTATATCTCGGCGAGCGCTTTGGCATCCAGATCCGCAATGCCCAACTGTTTGATTTGTTGTTTGAGCGCATACCGCTCAAGGCCCTTATAGAGTATCTTCAGGTCGGAGATGCCCTGGTCACCATTACGTGCACTCCAGCTGTTGGCCGAATCGGTGACGCTGCTGCTGTTGCTGCTGGGGGCACCTCCACTACTAACCGCGGCGGCGGCGGCGGCTGCCTCTGCACAGGGCGAACGTGGCGTTGTTGTGGCCAATGGCGTTGCGCTGGCAACGTTCGGATGATAGGCCAACACCACGTTGTCCACATGTGTCACATTGAGTATGTTAAGCAGCGCTTCCAGCGCTTCATTCACACTCTCCGTGGAGTTCTTGTTAAGGAATATCTTTGCACCGATGCTAATCTCATTGCGTCCATTCTCCGTCAGTTTGCTGTTTAGCTCCTGTGTCGCGCACAGCACGCGGCCATGCAGCTTGTCAATTTCGACCACAACGCTGTCGGACGTCGATGATTTTGGGTCATCGTGCAGCGTTTTTTGCAGGCCATCGTAGAGCTCCTCGTTCGATTGGCGTTGGCCCAGTTCGTTGTTGATGATGTTGCCCGTACTAATTACCACGTTCTGGTAGTTTTTCGTTATTGTTGGTATCATACTGCTGTTGCTTATATCTCCGCCCGCTTTTCCAGTTGTAATCCAGTAGATAAGTGACGACTTGTGACTTATGAATATGGCCCCGACAATCGCACTCGTCGGCCAGTGTTTCTATTTTGCCTCGAACATCGTGAGCAACGGCACTTAAATACGCCTTGCACTAGTGCTGCATCAAAACAATCGATATATCGCATCATCGATACGTTTCGAAACCATAAACATCGTCAAATTCTTTGCATGGCAAATCAAATAAATTCATTTAGTTAAGTCAATTTTAATTATTAATAATTGAGTAAACTCTTAACCATTTTTGGTACCTTAGCGACAATTCTTAGAATGAATTTTGTTATTAATGAAAGAGCGATTATCAACACTGGAACTAGCTCATTTTATCGCAGAACAAACTATCGGAAAATTGAATTGCGCGCCTCCTGCAACGGGACAGTTGGCAAACCAAAAAAATTATCGATCGTTAATTTCAGCAGAAATAATGTGTTCCAAACAGGTGCGCGAATGGCTTGTTTTTCTCACCATGGAGAAGTATATGCATTGCTTTCTAGAGCGCGGCTACATTACCATTGAGCAGTGTCAACAAATCATCAACAGTGATCTCATAATGCTGGGCATCGACAATCCAACACATCGCAAACTTTTATTAGCTGGCGTTCAGTTGCTGATTAATTCGCCCAAACTATTTGCTTGCTCTGAGCCTTGCGAGTTTCATCCCACAAATTCGGTGGACATCAACATATCCGCCCAATTCTTGGTTACGTGCAAGATTGACTTGCACTTAGATGTGGAGAACAAATCGAATTTCTTATCAAGAACACCGTCGCCAAACGAATATATCAATGATTCAGCATTTCCCATTTCCCACACTGATCTGCCCAACTTCGAGAGTGATGAGCTCCTTGCGCTGCAGATGGATGAGCTTCTTAACTAGGATTTGCTCCCGGATAACTTATGAAAGCAAGCATCCCTTATTAGCTAAACTTAAATCCAAAGATAATTCAATTATTCTCATCGATTAAGTGAAGTCAATCAAATTGAATTAAACTGTAGTTTTAACAATTAAACTGTATCTGTATTTGTATTTCTTAAGTAATATCATTTTGAGGAGCTAGAGGCATCTATTTGAATGTAATCAAGGGACTGAGCAGTGCATTTAGGAGATATTTAATGCCTCGCATCAGATCCTGCATGCGTGCATCCACTGGAGACGTCAACACAGTCCGGTGAATGCTAACTGTGCCCAAATCGGGCGATTTGCAGTCCACACACTCAATCGTCTTTAGCTCCACCTGAGGTGGCGCACTGGAGCCGAGGACATAGTGCTCCCGCACATTGTTCGCCAGTTGGCGGGAATTGTGCAATGTGCCATAGAATAGAACGCGATCGCCTCGATGCAGCAACTGTGTAAAGTTGCCAAAGTCATGGTGGGCACGCAGCACCACATCCGAAGCGACAGAGCGACCGAGCAGACTCCCTGTGGCAGCCACCTGGACGAGCAGCTCGTATTCGTAGCGATTCCAGCGCTGCAGCGTACACTGGCCCATTTGAGCACTGAGCGTCTTAATCACACGTTGCCATTCGACGCAGTGCGTCTCCTGCTGCGGATCACATTTGAAGCGCTGGGCAATGTTCTCTCCGTGCACACAGCGCAACAGTTTGCCCAGCCATGTGGGCAGATAGTTGGCGACGATATCCTCCAGCATATTCGAGACGCGTGCAATCTGCACATGCTTCACCCTGCCCTCCCACGACACATACATGCCATTGAGATGGGAGCAACGCAGTTGGGCTTTAATCTTATTTGGCTGCTCCTGCACGGGATGCGCGCACAGCTCGTAGAAGCGTTCCCATTGCAGCGCATCTGGCATGGAGTGCATGCCGACAGTTGGGCTGGACAGAACGGTGGGCATGGCATTAAAGCGTGGCGTATCCTTGAAACTAGACGTCATGTAGGGAAAGACCAGCAGACAGGCCGTGGTCAGGCCAATAAGCAGCTGGAAGCAGAAGTTAATAAATATTTAGTTAGAATATTTTAAAATTAAAAATTTCGTTTTTTGGGTTTGTTTCAAATCTAGACTATTCCAACTTATAGCTTGCGAAAAGAGACTTTTAGAAATGTTTAAAAATAACAGCAATTATTGGAATAAAATAACTAAATATTTCCTGAGTAAGCTGCATCATTTGTAGATATCAATTTAATAATTATCAATTATAATCTGTCGAACTTACTTGCAACATGGTGATGTACTTCTGGGTGGCACGGTTGACAGCCATGACGCAGGAGAGGAGCACCACCAGAGCGCAAACGATGGCAGTGGTGCCCCAGCGCAGATGCTCGCTGGTCAGACCGATGCTATCGATGGCAACGAACACGGGAACAAGCAGCGCCACAATGCCAAAGAGGGGCAGGAAAAGGACGATGCCAGCCAAACCCAAAGCGGCACGCATGGCTCCAAAGACTGTGGCACTCTGGGAGGTGACAATGCACACCTGCAGCCAGCTGAGCGTGACGCAGTGTGGTATCAGATAGGTGTAGACGCCATGCCAGCTGGAACGCTTGGCCACCAACACGAGCAGGATGGGTATCAGCAGGTAGAGGGCCGTGCGACAGTTCAGGCAGAATTCGATGCCGTTGCCAATGACAAAGGAGGAGAAGGTGGGCACACGCAAATCCAGGAAACGCCAGTGGGTGGACACAACCTCATCCAGTTCATATGGATATTTGGCGAGCACATTGACGGCAAAGGAGACAACGATCAGCCAATCGGGAAGCAATTGGGATGAGGAGTACATGAAGACGCCGAGGGAAATGAAGGTGCAGGCACCCGAGATAATTGTCAGCTCCGAGTGAGGCAGCCAGGCATCGGTGACCAGTGGGTAGACAATCAGATTGCAGATGAAGGCACAAAAGTAATACAAATACGGTTTCATATTGTTGCGCAGGAAACGCTGCTCCGAGATCTCCGCCTCAATGTTGTGGTCCCCGTATCGGAGAAACAAACCGGACCAGATGCGAAAGTCCACGAACTGTTGCTTGGTCTTCAGCATGCGGCACGTGGCCCACAGCATGACGCTCAAACTCAAATAATAGCCAATAATGGGCAACATATGACGTTCACTGTCCTCGATGGTGCTCCACCAGGAGAGCAACACCAGCAGGCTGCAGCGCACGCTGAGCGGCAGCATGGCGGGCAGGGCGACAACCAAATTGATCAAGCGATGATAAAGTAGCGTGAAGAAGACCAACGGATGAAAGATCAGGCGATAGAAACATGGCACATGATCGAGACTCTGTGGATGTGGCACGGACAGCGTCAGTGTCTCATTAACTTGCGGCATGCGTCCGGCACTGTAATTGGAGGCAGCCGAGACGAGATGCGCCTCGGTAATGAAGCGACGTCGCTCCACATTCGCTCGCCCAATGGTCGCAGCATCCTCGAGTGCCTCTCTCTCGCACTCGCTGCTCTCCTCATCCGTGTTGGACGAGGAGTAAGCAGCATCCGCAGCACCAGCGCCACGACGCCTACGCTTCCGTTGCAAATTATAAATGCGTCGCATCTTTCGCTCCAGCTGCTTGGGCGTAATATGCTCATTGCCATTCGACAGGCAAGCGAAGAGTTCACGGGCCGCTTTGCGGGCTGCGCGCTCGCCGGGCGTCATGGCCAGACAGCTCCGCACCTCATCCGCATTCTCGGCTGTAATGCCATTGCCGGCATTGTAGCATTTGCGCAGCAGACGCTGTGCCTCCTCGTGTCCCTGCTGAGCAGCGCTGACCAGCCAATGCACCGCCTTCTGGCTCTCATTGGCTACGTTGGGCTCTGTGTGTAGGTTAGAGATGTCAAATGAATTCTTTCTGCTTGACATTTACATACCGATGGCATTCTCCAGCAGCTTCTTGCCCAAATCATACTGCACTTGAGGGCATCCCTCTTCGGCAATGTGTTCCTTCAATTTGTTCAGTGAGGCTCGGTCTGCAAAACACACGAAACATACACAAAGAGCTCTATAAATAGCTAAAACAGCTTGGATTACCTTCGAGATTCCAGCGCCGCCTTTTGCTGACACCTGTCGGTGCGTTTTGTGTCCAGGTGGCCATCGAGAGCAACAAATTGCAAAAGGCTGCTGATTCTGCTGATTGTTTACGCTTTAGAGTGCAATTTAGAGTTGCACCAAATCATTTGGAGTTCATTCTGTGCAACGACCAAACTCAAAAGGAACGAATGAACGAACGAACGAAGGAACTTATTCGTTCAAATGGATTCTATCAGTGTTGGCATTTTGGCTTTGAAATAGCTATGTTGGGAAATGTTTGCAAAAATTACTTTATGGGTGTAACCAGAGCATATTGTTAGTCCAAATCAAGTCATTCAGAATTAAGCTTTTTATTTAATTTTTTGCCTTCTTGCGCACGCATTTTGCCAATCGCATTTATTTAAATTTTGACAACACTGGCTTCAATTTGCAAGCGCGCTCGACTGTTATCGTTGAGAACTATCGCTTGCTAGTTATCAGTTGCAGTTATCGATAGCTCGCGACAATCGCTACCCGGCGTAATTTGTTCAGTGTACATGTGTTTTTTTTGTTTATAATTCGAATTGCTTAACTTATTTAAGTCAAAATGGATCGAAACATGCAGAAGCAGTTGTTTAACAAAGCGAGGGAGTCACCAAACCTGCGTCGCTTCAGCACGTCGGCAACGGCAGACAGCACACGCAAATCGTTTTTTGGAGGGAACCCTAATCTAGGCGCCTCGCCAGGAGCCTTAAAGAAAACTGGGCTGAGTAATAGGTGAGATATGCAATAAATCCTTTACTATTTTCAATAATAAATGCATATACTTCTGTAGTCGCCTTAGCTTGTCGGGACGCTCCACATCACAGTCCATACCGGGCATCCGATCAGATTACAATGTCGTCGAGATCTTTGGCAATCCTCTGCCAGTTGCCGTAAACGAAGCGTTGACTTTTACTGGAACCATGGGCAACACGGTTTCAGCCAAGATTGCACAAAATGGCTACGCATGGGTAAGCAATATCAACACATATTCTGTTGTTCATCTAATTGTGTAAAGTATTCAATTAGTTTATATGGGTTTATTTGTATGAATGTCCTTGTTGTATATCAGGTTGTTCAAGGTCGTCGCTTACTGATTTGGCAGTACAGAAATAAAAGCGGCGCTGGCCAGGCAAACTCGCCGCCCCGGCTGGGTAAACGAGGAGCGACGTCGGCACAATGTCGCGAGCTGACGCTGCCCCACAGCGATATTGGGCACAAGAGCGAATTGGTTAGCGTTTTCCAGACGGAGGACAGTCAAGCGATGGCTTCCTGCATTGCGGTCTCTGCGACTGGAGACGTACGCTACTGGGCATCGATAGCGCACGATAACAATTCGGTGGATCTGTCCATACTGACGGGGCAGGAGTTTGTCCAGCTGTTGAATTTGCCCACGCAGCAGGGTTATCTTGCTGTCACCTCCACGTGTACGTTGGTGTTCCTGCGCGTGGGCCTCAGCAAGGGTCGCTATACGCTGCACCACAAGACCATTAAGCCAGCGACTAGTTTACTGGGCGGCTTTGGCAAGCGAGTGGCATCCATGCTAATCGGTATGAACAACGGTGGCGATAGGGATCAGGTGAGAAACATAATTCTTTTGCATCATCAGCAGCCAATTAATGTTCGTCTGCTCCTCGTGTAGTTATTAGTTGGCATGTGCTGTGAGAGCAACACAAAGAATGGCGAAAGTATTGTCACCGTGCTCTCAGATCGCGGACTCCAGCGTTGGCTTCTCTCCAACAAGGGCAACACCGAGCAGCTAATCTACGAGGAGGTGGAGCTGTTGCGTAAAATGCGTGAGATGCTACTCTTGAATTTCTGGAATGTGCGCACGCCCAACGAGAACGTCGATGTCGAATTGCATTTCATGGACTATCATGTGGCCAATAACTATCACTATATGCTAGTGGGTGCAGTCAATCATGGGCATGCGCCCCAGATGAACTACGCCATAAGTAAGCTTACAACTAGCAACAACTCTTTCCTAATCAGAGACTAATTTGATTGTTTTTTTTGTAGTGGTGGCCAGCGCTGGTCCAGAACGCATGCTGCTGGATTGCTTGACGCCGCTCAAGCTGCAAAAGTTCTACAGTGCCAAAACGGTGCAGGAATGCCTCAGCGTGCGCATCATGGTTGGTGCCTCGAATTTGTATCTGTATACGCCGAAAGTGGTTTATCCGCTGGGCTTGGTAAATTTATTGCCAACCGGCGAAAATGAAATGGAGAAGGTGGAGTTCCATTTGCATGAGGATCGCATCCTTAGCGCCGCCATGTGCAATCGAATACCGCTTTTCTTCAGCCGCACACATGGCCTCGTCGGCATCACGCCGGGCAACTTTGAACCCTTCGATATGATGAACCTGAGCAACCTGAACCCGAGCGATGTATATTTTCCGTTCGATGCCAGTTTCAATGTGGCCAATCAAAGTATGTCGCAGGAAAACTCCAATTGCTTGCCCATGTATCAGCTGGATCCGGATGAGGTCTATGCGGATTTCAACAATGGTGTCGGCCAACTTAAGGCCGCATTCTTGTATCGCCTGAAACGCAACAATCAAATGGTCAAAACAGTTCTCGCCGATGTAATGGATAGCATTGCAGAGAGCGATCCAAAGGGTGCTCCCCTGGATGCCTACAAGCTGGACAGGTTAAATATTTATTTACGTTAATACCAAAGACATGGATTTAATAATAATTTTCAGAATTGTCATCACTATTGCCGAAGATTTGGCTGAGGATCTGCCCATCGGGGATCCGCGCTGGCAGTCAGCCATTGAGGAGTACGATGGCGAGCGATATGCGCTGGGCAGCTCCCACTCAATGCAGATCATCCATCAGCTGCGCGACAAGGGCATCGCCTTCCAGCACTTTATTGATTTTCTGCACTTTAGTGCACTCTGGGAGAAGGTTTACACTTTGATATATCCTTAATATATATAAATATCTAATATTCTTAATTTTTACAGTTGAATGCCATACCCTGTGGCAGTAATGTGCTCAAGCATACATCCTACATTCTGGCCGATATAAGCGAAAAGATTGTGGCTGCCACAGCTTTGCGGGCGCTGCAATCTAAAATGCCCAAACTGATTGATGAGGTCATCGATTTCACTGTCGCCCACTGGGATGAGAAGCCCTATGAGAGCCTGACCGCCCAGGATATATTCTACGTGAAGCTGTGCAAGTTTCAGTGCATCTATATGGCACTCGCAGACATGGCCGACGATCGGATTGCATCCCAAGATCGCACCACAGCAATGGTGGCCCAGTTTATAGCCGACATCAACACTATTGTGCTCGGCACACTGGGGCCAGTGCTGAGACATCGGGAGCAGAATGCTAGTAGCTTTAAGCCGCCCGCCAATTCATGCGAGAATCAGCCCTGGACAGCGACAGTGGGCAGCGCTGGTTGCCACGATTCGCTCGTCCGCCTCATCGACATCACGGTGCGTTATGGGGCGCAATGCGTCACCGAGTCGGAGCTGAAGCATGTGCTCTATCAGCAGATACTGGAACTGATGGACATGGTGCTGGAGGGACGCAAGAACTATCTGGATAGTGTGCGCGGCACGGAAAAGTTTCAGGTGCTGCAGCAACAGTTCGAATCCCAGCGACGCGAACTAATCTCAGTACTAAGTGAGTAGTTCAGAAACATGAGCCAAAAGCATATCCATTGATTGCTCCCCTTGCAGTTAAGGATCAGCAGTACGAGTGCGCATCTCGGCTAGCCGAAAAGTATTTGGACTTTCAGAGTCTGGTGGTCATCTGCGATGAGACGCAGGATAATGAACGACTGGATGAATTCACACGCAAATACGAGGAGCACGATTTCTCACAGTTTGCCATCAATTGGCATTTGCGTCAGAATCGACATGGTGAGGTATTTGAACGATTCAAGTCAAACCAGCCGGCATTGGCGCAATTCATGCGCGATCATCCATCACTCGGTTGGATTCAGCTCATATTCAACGGCAACCATGAGCGCGCCGCCAAAGTGCTCTTCGATCTGGCCCAAGGTGAATCGGAATTTGTGGCACGCAAAAAATCTATGTTATCGCTCTCAAAATTGTCTGCACTTGCGGCGCCTGATGCCGATTTGTCGGCACAAGTCGAGAAAATCAATTCCGAACTGGCTATCATTGAATACCAATCCTATTTGGCTCACAATGTGCTGCAAAGTTTTGGCTTTGATGCCAACGATCAAAAGGTGCTCAAAGTGGAGGAAATCATTAATGTGAGTAATCTCGATTTACATCGATCATAATATATAACTTGTTAAGACTGGTTTTGCGTTGCAGTTGTTCATTGCGGAGGAGAACGACTCAGCGACCGAAGTCGAGTTCCGCAAGGCCTTGGAGTTGCTCAACTACGTGGATCAGGCATATGACTTGCGACACAAGATTTGGTGTGCAGCCATTCGACGCGACAACTGGACAGATTACGATGCCAACAATGCGGTTAATTATATACACAATCTGCTGTTCTTTAAAATCATCGAAATCTCCCAGCTAATTGGCCAAGATACCGACGGCTTCCTGCCGCCCATGGAGGATTTTTTGGAGAGCATGGAACTGGGCGATCTGCCGCAACAGCAGACATTTCAATATTTACTGAAACTCGCCTACGAGTATGTCGGCGATTTGTTCAAACAAACAGAAGACATGGAGCTGTAAAAATGTGGAGAATTATTAAAACATACTCTTAGATTAACAACCAACGACTGAACTTTGTCTCTTGTCTTGGACAGTTGTCAGCTTTGTTGCCTGCTGTCGCACGCATTATAAAATATTATAAACTAAGTTGCTTTGTTGCTGTTTGCAGTTGCTGTTTGTAGTTGCTGTTTGTAGTTGCTGTTTGCTATTTCTGCTAGCGAAAGTATCTCGAGTGTGGCGAGTGGAGCAGAAGCCCGCCAAGTGTTGTCACTGGCTTTAACCAGCGGCTGCACTCCGACCTGCCGTCGCATCAGTTGTGTTTTGATCATGACGGACGAAACAACGCCGCTGACCGCCAGCAGCTCCGGCTACGTTGTTTTGCCGCCCTACCAGGGGCCCAGCTATGTCTTTCCGGGCGGTGTCTCACCGCGAGCCCGACGCTCCAAAATGAAACAGTTCCAGTGCTGCATCACCATCACATTTATGTGAGTCCAAGGAGATAATTAAATAACTGAGTTTCTTTTTGGAATTCGTGTTCGAAGTGCTTTCCCTTTTCTTACACACATATATTTATATATATGTTTTGTTGCCACATCGGATTTACTATATTAAGTTTCTCTCATAAGAAAAAATGTATATGGGTGGCACACAGTTAATCTCTGTGGTGGAGTTTGTCATTTGATAGCTGCTTAAATCGCTAAGCCACAAATTAATTTCATTTCTTTGATCACAGCGTGATTGTAATTGCCGCCTTGCTCCTGGCGCTGTGGTTAAGTGGCAGTGGCTACACTGGAAGCAGTGGCGATGATGATGGTCCCAGCTACTTTTTTGCCACGAACGAAACGGATGCGCCGTCGTTGTGGCAGACACTGGCCGCCATCAAGAAACCCATACCCGATGAGCCGGAGACGGATTGGGCGCTGCGCCAAGCGACGCTGGATCCCAATGAAGGTGCCCAGGCGGTGAGTGCGGGCATCAAGGCGCTGGGCGATCGTGAGATACTCGAGGAGGGACTGCAGCCGAGTGCCTTTGATACGCCCCAATTTCGGCACTATCGTTCGCTGAGCACCAATCCGGAGGCCCGCAAGTTGGCGCGTCGTGGCTATGTGGAGAACCATGCGACGCTTAACATTGCCCAGAGATTTAACTATACCAAGCAGCCGGGACGCAGCAATATTGGACTTGGTCCACCCATAGTGCTTTTGGATCCCACCGTGCTCCGTTTGGATTGTGATTTCAATGAGCGTTTCAGGCGGAGCACAGGTGTCTGCAACAACAAGCTGCATCCGCGCACCTATGGCGCCTCCATGGTGCCCTATCGCCGCATGGTGGCACCAGACTATGCCGATGGCATTGCAGCGCCACGGATTAGTCATGTGGGTAAATTGCCGCCGGCGCGTCAAGTCTCGTTGAGCATTCATCGTACCAGCTACGAAACAGATTCGAATTTCACTGTGATGCTAGCGGTTTTTGGACAGTTCCTGGACCATGATATTACGGCCACGTCGCTGACCACCTCGCAGGAGGGTGAATCCATTGATTGCTGTGTGGCCAAGACGCAACAACAGCATCCGGAATGCTTTCCCGTCCAGATACTCGCGGATGATCCATACTACAAGCAGTACAATCTGAGCTGCATGAATTTTGTGCGCTCAGCTCCAGCTCCAACTGGAAGATTTGGACCACGTGAACAGTTCAATCAGGCGACGGCTTTCATTGATGGCTCGGTTGTCTATGGCAATTTGGAGCAGCGGCAGCGCCAGCTGAGGAGCTACATCAATGGTACGCTGCGCATGTTTCTCACCGATGATGGGAGGGAACTGTTGCCCATCTCCTCGAATCCGGAGGATGGCTGCAATCGTCTCCAGATGACGCGTCAGGGTAAATACTGTTTCGAGTCGGGCGATGATCGGGCCAATGAGAATCTGCTGCTCACCTCCATGCATCTGCTGTGGGCAAGGCATCACAATTATCTGGCACGTGGATTGAACGCGATTAATCCAGACTGGGATGATGAGCATGTCTATCAGGAGGCCCGGAAAATACTCGCCGCCCAAATAGCCCATATTACCTACAATGAATTTTTGCCCGTGCTCCTGGGTCGCAATCTGAGCGAGGCGAAGGGTTTGCTGCCTGCCCGTGGACAGCCACACGCACCGGACACATACGATCCAGAGGTGAATCCCAACATTGCCAATTGCTTTGCGGCGGCCGCTTTCCGATTTGCCCACACGCTGCTGCCGGGTCTGTTCAATGTGTCCAGGGACCACAGCACACCCGAGTCCATTGAGCTGCACAAGATGCTCTTCAATCCGTTCTCGCTGTGGGTACGCCATGGCATCGATCACGCCCTGCAGACAGCCTCGAATACGCCGGTGCTCCGTGTGGATCCCTTCTTTTCGCTGGAGATCACCCAGAAGTTATTCGAGGGCACTACCGAGGACCGGCTGCCCATTTGTGGCCTGGACTTGGTTTCGCTGAATATTCAACGAGGTCGCGATCAGGGTATTCCCGCATATCCGGTTTTCAGGCGCCACTGTCGTCTGCCACCAGTGGATACCTGGGAGCAGATGGCACGAGCCGTCGACAACTCAACTCTGGAGTCCATCAGACAAATATATGCGTGAGTAATTCCCTTAATGTCTTACATGTATATTTATTTATTTCAATTCGTTTTCACACCTCAGTTCGCCACAGGATGTGGACCTCTATACGGGTGCACTCAGTGAGCCGCCGCTAGAGGGCGCCATCTTTGGTCCGCTGCTCAGCTGTTTGGTTTCTGATCAATTTATACGCCTCAAACTTGGCGATTCCTTTTGGTATGAGCGTAAAATAGGACCACAGAGATTCACAAAAAGTAGGCAAGATAAAAAATATACCCTGTAGTTTCTAAAAATTATATATCACACAGCACAACTGGATGAAATCTACAAGAGCAGCTTGGCTGCCATCATTTGTCGCAATTCCGATAACATTCAACAGGTGCGTCCACATCTTATGGAACGCCAGCAAGGAGATGACAATCGCCATGTAAACTGCACGAATTTGGAGGGCTTTCAATTTGACTTTCAGCCCTGGTCGGAGGCGATAATGGAGCCCCAACTGCACAGGGCGGGCTTTAGTCAGGCAATGTCATTGGTGCGGCTGATGCATAATAATAATATAAAAGCAACGATCAATCATGAAAGACTGTAGCTACATTTATAAATAATAAATACCCCCGATCGATCCACAACTTGCAACTATCAAAATTACTTATACATGATATGATGTATATGATAGCTTGAATCGGATATCCGTTTGTGTAATTAAAGCCAAGAACAGGGCTGTTTGTTGGCGCGCTACTGACTCTGTCACATATCGATAGTTGGAGCTCTGAGAGGGACGCTGAACTGATTTTTCGATAGGTTGTGCCAGGATTTGAAACTGCTTTTTTTGCACAAAAACTCAGAAGGTAAATAAAAATGCAAGACATTCGAATCGACATTCATCTCCAAATATCAGCGCAGCCATAGCGAAAATTTTCAAAGACTTGAGTAAACTGTACTTTAAATCGTTTCCCTTCTGGTACTTACTTAATTGTCATATACATTTGAATTGGAGCCCATTCTCCTAAACCAACAATTCAGTTGACAGACAGTTCAATAAATAACGAACATGCACGAACTTGCTCGAATTTCTATCGATAAGCAAGAGTCTTCGTTAATCTGCTTTTCACCATGTTCATTTTCATGAGTTGGCAGCTCTTCAAAATGAGAGTAATTCTGCCTGCTGCATAATTTTATAGGGTGCAATTTACTTATTCTTTGAAAAGAAACATTCAGGTAGCAATAAACGAAATTGCTCGCACATAGGGTTTTTACCTAGTAACAAGTTTCTTGTGAACTCGGTTTTGCTACCCTCGACGTTTGCAGCTGTTCATAAAAGGGATTAACGCAGGTACTACATTTGCTCGCGTCGCGTAGCAATACGTTTCGCTGCTGCGAGCGCAGTCATAAATACAGCGTCATTCTCGCATTTTCCACCATTTGCCTTTGAAAAGTCGCGCCGTGTAGACGTGCTAGTCTAACAATAAGTTCAGTGTCTGGAATGTTACACAACCAGATTGTGTGCGCGCATGTCAACGTTTGAGGAGCAGCAAAGGTGTGTTTGTGTGTGTATATACTGAAGAAAGTCATTTAATATAGCGTCATACGAAAATGGTTGCTTATTACGATGAGTCTGCTGTTGACGGCATCGATCAGCCCAAAACGTTAACATATTGGGTGCGTAATTTTCGCATGAAACGTGTACAAATGCGCCGTAAAATGCGTGGCTCTGGCAGCCTACGTGTCAACGCCATTTTGTCAACGGCGCTTTTTCATGCCGAGCACGAATTGCGCAGGAAACAACAGGAACGATTCAGTCGTTGGCTCGACATACAAACAAAATTAACACCACATGGCAGAACGCATTGTGCGAGTGATGCGGATGAAAAATATCAGCATAATAATTGTGATGGTAATGCGGAAAAGACTGCCGAATTTGAGCGACGCAATATTGAAAATAATTTGTGGAGAAACGAACTGAGTGGCCTCGATAATTTTCTGAGCAGTTTGAGCAGCAGCAAAAGCAACAACAACAACGGAACGAACAATGGGAGCAGCAACAATTACAACAGCAACAAACAAAGCAGCTGCGCAATTGCTGTCAGCAGTTAGCCTGAAAGAGACAACCGTATTTTGACACTTCAATATTTGAGCATAACTGTTTCTTTCTCATTTCCTATTTTGATTTGTTTGTTAAATTAGTTTTATTACGCAAGAAATTTCTCATTTGCAGTCGCAAAACGTAATTGTAAAGAAAAATGTGAAGAGGCTGTGAAGAAGAGTGTGATAAATGATCAGGATGAGCAAATGGCCTTCGTATAAAGCGGGTGGTGTGAGTCAATGGCGCTGACGCTGTCTCTGTCTATCAACGCTCACCAGAAAAAAGAAGCCTTTGGTTCCGGAAAAAATTCACACTCGGTTTGTAAATTTATCATTATTAACTTCTAACGCTATAGTTCATTTTTTTAGTTTGTCTTTTTGCTGAAAGTAGACAAATTAAATATTTCATAGTGAAAAAGATTTCACAATGACGAAAAGCACGTACGTAGATATGTGTGTGTGTGTAGATATGTAAGCGACGCCATCTTGCATGTGTTGTGTATATCTACATGCGCAGATGGCCGCTGGTGCGAGAGTGACAACGTTATTTTCTGTGGCAAGTGACTCACTCTCGCGCATGTACATTCATGCATTTATATGTATGTATGCATTTTGCCTTTGTTTGTTGCTTTCGTACGTGTATGCATACGTGCATAAGCGGATAAACCTTGGATAACCATGTCTGCTATTTCTATTTTCGTCATTGTATGAAATATTTAATCAGCAAAGAAACGAAAAATACAGTGATTCATATTGAATCGAAAGAGACTCAAGAATTAATAATAGAAGAACTTTTTTTGATTATCATTAACATCATTAGATTGTAGTCGCAAAAAGCGAGCATTGTATATATAAAAAAGAACTTGAAAAACAAAAATACACAGAACTGAAAATTGTATGTTAACATAAATAAAACTAAATGTAATTTTTGAATCAGTGTTGCCTTTATTATTTACTCGAATCACCACAACACACATCCCCTTGTCGTATTTATAAATTTTTCTATAACAGAATTTGTTTTGCAGTTTTCCTGCTCCTCGAAACGTTAATGGCAACGATGAGGAGGAACGGAACATTTGGCAAACAGCAATAACAGCAGCCACAAACAGCATCCATCAAGAACAGAACATCATCATGATGATATCGAAACACAATGAAATGATCGATAATCCTTCTTCACATCATCCAATTGCGACATGTCGATCGTCGCCATCAAAGATTTTATGTTTTTAAATAATATCCACTGAGTGAGTCTTCACGTCTGTCCGTCTTCTGCAACACCACACACAAATAGGCAGCGAGTTTGCAACGCCAGCCGACATATCCTACACAGTTCGCCGAAGCAGCAGTTTAGCAGCGGCAGCAGCAGCAGCAGCAAAAACCACCAAGTCTCAATCAAAAAAAGAAAAAAATGAACAAATAATATGAAATGCCAGATGCAGTGCAGTGCTGACAAATATAAATTTGGGGACAAGGCGGAAATTGCGCGCGGCAGCAGCAGCAGCAGCTTCAGCTCAACAGCAAACGTGTGTGCGCTTTAAAAATGCCTGTGCCAACTACTACTACTACTACCAACCACCACCACCACAATCACTCTACCTACTCTACTCTACATAAAATGCGGTTAGCAGTTGTTTTGCTGACGGCACCCAACCAACCAACCTATCCATCCACACAGACATCTCTTCTGCATACACGCGGTATTCGTATATCAGCTGCGAACGCAAAAACCAATTACTTTTTCAAAACAGATTTACAGCAACAGAAAAGGAGAATGAAATCAACAAACAACATCAGCAGCAGCAGCAACAATTTCGCAGTTGAATGTGCCTGCGCGACGCTGTGGAATTTTTCTAAGCTTAATAATTTGATCAGCAACTTCGTCGACATCATCTACGTTTACGTCCTTTTGTCGTCTCCACTCCACTTCATTTTTATCGGCGGGTGGCACGTAAGCCGTATTGGAATTTTGCTCGTTAATTAACGCTTGAATTACAGTATACTACCTACCAAAAAGGAATGCGGAGAGGATGCTTTCTTTTTAGAGCTCCAGATTCTCGATATTGTTTTTTTGTTTGTTTTTTTTTTATGTATAAAACACATCTATGTATGATTTTAGCGAAACAGTTGCTGCACACATTTCTAGAGATTGCTAGATGAAATCTGTTTGGAAGGTCTTTAGGCAATACCTTGGAATTCATCTACTGTCTGTCTACTCGCAGCAAGCAAGCACATCCCCGTTTTGAAGGAACAAGCTTACAAGTTTGATATTCTCTTTATTGCATAAATACGTGGGCTTCAATCTTTTTGTAGCGATGCATCACAGTTGAACGGTGCCTGTGAGCGTCTGGCTCATAATCCAAAGGAAGCCCACGAAGCATACATTCTTAATTTACAACGCCCTCGCCCAGTCGGGGTGATGGGAACTTGGATGGGATGATCGATCAACGACACACACTGAGAACGAACTCCTCACGTAAAGTTATACCCTGTAGCTTAGGACAAAGACAATTTTTTGTTTATATTTTTTAGCGATGCGACGCAGTTGAGCGGTGCCTGCGCGCATCAGCAAGAAAGAGATCAAGAAACAAGCGAGATCGGATCGAGATATCGAATCCAGCATTCTTTTCTCTCTTCATATTTTTGCAATTTTAGAGAACTCGACCAATATCAGAACACACGCAAAAGGGATACGAGTCAAGATAGAAACTCTACTCAAACGAAAACGAAAGCGTAACTTAATTTGTTAATACTTAACTTTGGACAATATTGTTTGTTTTCTGTTTCATATTGTCTTTTAGCACTAGCACGTTGCTATTGTGAGCCAAAGAAAGATACTAGAGGCACAAGTAAATGATGCACACAATTGTCGTCTAATCTACTATTGAAAAGAGCTGCAATAATGAAACTATATTCAGAAACATTCACGGAGATCGCGTCGCATAAAGTAACTCTTTATATATCACCTTCAATCTGGAAATTCTATATTCTTCTAGATGCATAAGATATGTCCGTACATACATATGGGTTTAAGACAAAACATTGATGAGATCTGGCTACTTGCCCAAATAACTAACTCGAATCGACAACGAGAGGTGGATTTATTATCATGGGCTAATGGCATAATGTTCTCGAGGATCCTAGGAAACTTACGTAAATTATATGAGCTTTGCCATATTTTCTTTCTTCGTTTTTCCCCTATTTTTATAGCAATATGATGCAGTTGAGCGGTGCCTGCGCATATTGGAAATTCTTTGATCGGAAAATATTGATAGGCAGCGAGGAAGCGCCATTTAAGAGAGAGGCATCCCCCCAATCGATAAAATATTCATGTAAATTATTCGATATGCCTGGAACAAAAAACATATTTCTTTTCGTATCTTGTAGCTATATAAAAATGACCGCAGTTGAATGTGCCTGCCAATAGCTTAACTAGACAACTAGAGAACGTCTCGGCGCAGACATCCAATCCTCCAATACTTGGAACTCCCCTAGGAAGGAAGTTTTCTACTGAATTTTACTCCCACTCTTTCCATTCCCAACCAGTTTACAGTTATTTTTCTCTAAGGATAATATATCTATTACAGTTCACAAGACACTGCAAATGACCCCCGAGTACATGTAGCAAAATTTCTTGAGGCAATGGGAATCAAATGCCAACTTGAAAGCAATAACAACAACAACACGACACTTGTTAACATCGCTCGCAATTGATCTGATCTGATCGCATCGATTTTGTGAGAAACGGTCGAATATCTCGATAAACGTTAAAGGTCAGCCAAACACTGAATACGCCTTGACTTGCTTAAACCTGTTTTACAGCTAAACATAAATGCGAAAAGACGGTCACATGACATCGTGCGAGACATTTCCTTATCTCTCTCTGCTACATAACTCTGTGCACTGCCTGCGAATCACGTATTCCGGTCCGATCTGGGCACGGAAACGTTTTTCTCTCTTCTCCTCCCATCAAGCAAGCAGCGGCAATCAGCAACGAGCGTGTGTCACACTGCAAAATCGTTAAAGGGAATCAAGAACGATACATCAAGTCCATCCATAACCACTGATCCACAGGTAGTGAAATCTCCTACAGTAATGCCACAGCACCACAACAACAACACCACCACCACCACCTGCCAGCCAGCGATAGCTGCTCTGAATTGCAAATGCGCGAGTACAACGAGTGATCATCCGTTGCAAAGTACACTTAACGTTTTTACATTCCAGAAAAACGTTAGCTGCTGTTGCAACATGAATATGGCATGCCAAGCTTTTTGCACCACATGAAGAGGTCAGCCCTGCACCACTCGGCGGCGGTCAAAGCACTAACTCACGATCGATCACTGATGATGAGCAAACAGAGACGACCTCGGCTGTTGCTCTCTCTCTCTCTATATTTCTCTATCTATCAATCAATCAAATCTGTGGCATCACCAAGCCTAGCTCGGCCAGGCCAGGCCAGGCCGCCAGACCAAGCCAAGCCAAGCTGGTTCAGCTCAGTCCAGCACGTAATGCATTGCACCGCATAGAAATATGCGCTCGGTCCGCGCTAAAGGGAAACAAACGCGTTTGGACCGAGACCCGCCACACCACACAAACACCAGCATCCGCACTAAGAGGCGAGCTGATGTGTTGTCGTTGTTATCGGGCAGCTGCCTGCAAGTACGCTACGGGCATCCAAGCGTCGTCGTCGCAAGCTACCACTACTATTACTACTACTCTACTCTGCTCCGCTCCACTCCACTCTCTTCAACTCTCGGCGTTTTTCTGTGTGTGTGTGCAACCAGAGAATGTATGTTTACACATAGAGCATGCTCGTCGTTTATCGCAAAAGGGAACCAAATGCGATTAGTGTTCAAGCATCCCCGACGACGACCAATCAGACAGCCAACCAGCCAGACAGCTATCCATCCATCCATCTAGCCAGACAGCAAGCCAGCTATATATCCTGTGCAACAGTTACACAGATGATGACACAGCGGTGGTATTTCTATCAATGCAATTGATTTAACACATTTCTGTTTGCAAATTATCCACTCAAATCCTCTCACTTCTTAGCCTTGGCACAGATCGAGAACAGTGTGTAATCAAATCAAACCAAATCAAATCCATCGCAAAGGGAATCAAATGCGATTAGTGTTCGATGCCGATATGAAGCAGAAGCTAGCAGTGCCGCTAGTCCAGCGCAACGCTACCTATGCTTCACTTTTGCCAGTTGAGCGCTTAACTCCTGGTGCAACGTTCATCATTCCGCAATAGGGAATCAATTGCGAGGTGGTACTGCAGCAACGCACACACACACAACACCACACACACAAACACACACTTGAGACAGGCAAACACACACGCACACACCATGCTCTCCAAGCTCCGTGCTACGTGCTACGTGCTCTATGCTCTCCATGCATGTGATTAACTTCTGGCATTACAAGATCAGCAAGTAAGGCAAGCAAAGCGTCCTAAATCCAAATCGTAAAGGGAACCCAATACGATATACAGCAAGAGGCAGCTGACGGCAAACAGACAGCAGGCAGGCAGGGCAATCCATGCCAACAGCGCGCGAGAGGTTCAAGACATCCGATTTCTAACAGCTGATAGCTGATCGATTCCCTCGTTGTCATCGTTATCCAATCCATGTTGTTGTTGTTGGTGTTATGTAACGCTTTTCAGGTAACTTTCGTCACTCACTTTCAGCCTAGCCTAGCCGACCTGGACGGACAGTTACGACACGTATCTGTCGGTTTCTGCACGTCAAGTTGATCTCAAAGGGAATCCATGAGATACGCGCTACTTCTCCTATATGTAAACATTTTATTTTTTTTTTGTTTCTGTTTATTTTTCTATCTAAGTTTGTTATGTACAGAGGCGGCAGTCCTTTCTGGCCTTTTGGGCCTTAGGCAATCAAGAATGTATATTAGTACCATACACCTACTCTGTAACCCATGTTCCAAATCTACTATGTCAAAATTGTATAAGCGCAAGGCGTGTTATTTTGTAAGATTCGATTGTATTTTTTTGATTATTGTAAAACCTGTGACATGTACAAATATCTGTATGGCTTAAGACACGTAGCAGGCCAGGCATGGTGACGGACGAACTCCCCATTGTGTGATGTCCAACCCTTTGAAACGTGAGCGAGAACGGGCGATTTGAATGAGAAATACTCCATCTTTGAGCCGGGCCATCCATGACCTTTGGGTATTGATCTTCTTCTGGGGCTTTCGCTGCTGGTGGTCCTCTACAGGCAGCGGAAACACAATGATATCCATCGTTAAAATGGCACAACTATCTTCACCTGAGCAAACACTCTGGTCGCCTGGTTCATGAATCCACCAACTCCCATGTTCGGCGATTTTTCGACTTCTCTGATGTCGGAGCGCTTCCTTGGTGGGGTCATCTACTTCAGGCCATATAATCATCCGTAATGGCTTGCGACGCTTCATTATCAAAAACAAAATCTGCATATGAACTGGAAAGAGACTTCGATCGCTTAGAGTATCGTCACAATTCATCACAACCACTTGTTGAGAGCGTTCTTTTGTGGCATTTGTAACCAGTCGGGAAGAATATAGGCAGATCAACCGATCTGCAGAACTACTACTACTCTACTACTACTACTACTACTGCAAGGCACAACGACTTTACTACTAACATATTCAAGAAAACATCATTTTCATCAACACGCTCGCACGCACGCACGAACCAATCGACCAGAACCACTTGTTTTGCTCTTCGTACGCTGGCTAGGATCAAACACGCACACATTAATGGATTAGTTTGTCGTTCTCGTTGTGGGACAACGCTTCGCATTTGCAACAATAATTTACAACACACATTTCCTCCCTGCTTTTGATGATGAGATGGGCCTGGTGGCAAAGCGATAGGATAGGATCTCAATCTGCTCGGGTTTTGTTTATCTTCTACTACTACACCTCCTTCTCCACTACTACTACTACCTGGCCGATGATGGGGCCATTGATTTCGAACTTTCTACTGAGACGTCTTGACGTGTTTGGCGATTAGAGTTTTCTTCAGGATTCCAAAAAGATTTTCTCGAGTTACTTTCGAATATTTGGGCATCACTTGAATCACATTTTCTACTGAATTGACGGCTGCGTGGGATTACCTAGAATTGACGGCTGCGTGGGATACCGAGAGTTGACGGCAGCGAGGGACTACGCATAGGCGGCATCATGGGATACCAAATTGGGACGGCGGCGCGGGAGATTTGCATGTTATCAACGTGGGATTCGCTTGTTTTCATCGTGGGATTTGTTAGGGCTTCGGTTAGGCGAGGGCGCTAGGGACATTCCAAGGATTTCAAGCAGGGCAAGGGGCAAAAGCGATGACGGCGTCGTGGGAGTCACTTGACGGCGGCGGGGGAATCATCTAACTTCGGCGAGGGATCGGACCTCCTGACAGCTGCGTGGGAAAACCAAAGCTTCGACGTGGAAGTAGCTGACGGCTGCGTGGGACATCCTGACTGCCGCGGGGGTTTCTGACTGCAGCGTGGGAGATCCTGACAGCGGCGTGGGAGTTCCTGACTGCGTCGTGGGAGTTCATGACTGCGGCGTGGGAGTTCCTGCCGGCAGCGTGGGATACTTTGACCGCGGCGAGGGAGCCTCATCGGAAGATTTTGTTTCTCTTAACGATCATCGTCTGTATTCCTACAAGGTGCATCATTTATACAAGTTCATGCGTTCAAGGCTGATATACCTGCATTATTATCTGTCCAACTGGCATCTACATTCTATATATATTATATGTATATGTATATACATATTCGCATTCGTCGTCCTAGTATTTAATTAACATGAGTAGACTGCACCCTTAACTTAACAAACCCATTCGAACGGAAGCAATCATCACACTTCTACATTTATAATAATATTTATTCGTTCCTGGAATACCGGAAAGCAAACTAAAAACGATGATCCAGATAATCCAGATGCTCATACAAACGGATTATCTGCTGAATAAAATTTGATTGTTTGAAAAAATGAACTCAATTTGTGTTATTTATTCAACTAATGTGCTTTACTTTTGGTATAGGAAAGGTGGTCTACCAAAATTTAAAGAGATTCATGTAGGGATAGGTGCCATTCGGCCGACCAGCCTGAGTCTGATTAAACCGTGCAGTACCGTTTGGAAAAACGCCGCCATAGACTGGCTGAGGAGCGAAGATATTGTTATTGTTATTGTAGCCAGAGCCAGGTTGTGGAGCTAATGGTGACTGGTATTGGAATCCTTGCGGCGGACTGCTCTGCAGCGGCTGCAAGTTGTACGCGCCATAATTGGGTCTGGTATTATTGAATCCTGGTCCAGGCTGATAGTTGACGGCTGGCTTCATATAAGTCGAATTTTGACGGTGATGAATAGCGTTGAAATTTCGTGCAAAAGAACTAGTTTCAAGGTTGAAGCAGGCAAAGACCAGAGCTACAATAAAATCGATGCGAGATGTCATATGCGAATACCAGATGAAATAACAAGTGCTGATAATAATTAAGCTAACCTATTCCGAGAACCAACTGATAAGATTTCAGCATCTTGACGGCGTATTTCGCAATTTTCGCAGGGCTTTGTGGGGTGTTCGCTTTGAAATTCGAAATACAACTAAACGCAGCAGCAGAGAGTACCGTCTCTTATCAGGCTTTGTAATAAGATGTTCGTATTCTCTATATAAAAACGGCTGAGGAAAGTATGAAAAAGAAATGTCTGAGAAGACCACTTATAAATTTTGATTTTTTGCCGGCATTTTATTTATTTGTTCTTATGTATTAAGATTAAAATATTTCATTTTTATTTATTCATTAATTTTTTTTTTGAGCATCTCAGTCGTATACTCTGGTGCTAAGATGCTGTAGTTACAGGGTACTTTATGGTGAGTATTCCCGACTAGAACATGTTAGACATGTTTATTTATATATAAATAAAGTGGTGACAAAATGTGTGCTCTTATCATCACTGGGTTTTTTTTTAATGATGAGGTGGGAAGATGTAGCAGTGTATATACGTCACAGGCATAAGAAGACGTGTCCGATGACATTGGGTATATATAATCTTGGCCAGGTCGCACGCACATGTCAATCACAGAGTTGCTTTGAATTATAAAGGTAGGTAATCACTTTTTGCGAGCTGTGTCGAGTGAATCCAATGGTTGGTCTTTCGCAGCTACCTCGCTTTTGTTTATTAATTAAGAAATTGTTTTTTTCTAAACCTCAAAAAACTGATGTCATGCTAGATTTAAACATTTCATATTTGTATCATAAAATAAATATATTTTACATATGTATTTCAGCCGCGTTGCATAGGAAAAAGACCTTCGCAGCTGCTTCGTCGCACAATTTGTATATCTAAATAAGTAAAATAGAGTCATCAATATATATATATATATATATATATATCGCAAACAGAACTTACCGGCACCACAGAAGCGAGCACAGTTAAACTTCTGTTCGTTGAGATACAATTGTCGATTGCTGGCACAGATCGGATTATACTCTGAAGTTGTTGGGCAACTGCCAAAGCAATTGAGGAACTCTCTTGTTGGCTGTGGTGCGTCGACAAAGGGTGAGACAGTTGCCATCACTGGCATATTGTTGACGAGCACCCAATTGCGACGCGCTGGTGGCCCCGTAACTGGCACACTTGGCCTTCTTGTCGCTGAGAATATTAGTTCATCTTGGGCCGATACAAGCAGATCACTGGTGATAATCACGCATGCCGTAAACAACAATGATTGCATATTGCACTGCATCTCTTAAAAATGTATCCGTATTTGGGTGCGAAGGGCTCTGGGGTTGCAATAAGACTAAGTCAAGCTAGTGCACAACTATAAGTCTATATAAATTGATACATAAGTAGACAGATGATTTCATATAACAGGTTTTGATCGCTGATTTTGTGGTAAATCCAGTTCGATCAGTCGGAAAGTTTATTAAGTTGTTTTTTGCGATAACAAACAAAACTGATTAGCTCGGGCTTAAAAGTGTGCTGGGAAATCACCAGTTTATTATGATTACACTATGCAGAAGAAAAAAGATATATTCAAAATAAATATTGTATATGCGGATATATTATTTTTCTATTATTTTGGCAAAGCGCAAAACCCAGTTGCACGAAAATATGTTGAAAAATATTTATTTGTGATTTAGCTGCAGAATATATTGTTTAATTTGTTGCACAGTGTAGTAAGTAAAAGTAGGAAATTATAGCTTAGCCTATGATAATGGTATTGTATGGTGCGGCAGTTATGCGCGGACCGGGCATAGAGTGTGTTGGGGATGCATACTGCATCGACTGTTCTAGTTTACGATATGAAGCAGTTCTCCAACCAATGCTAGCTAAAACGAGAAGATATAAAGAGCTCAAAGTGTATAAAATGGGAGGTGGCCGTTGTAATTTACAGTTTGAAGTGCGTGGCATACTAGTTGGAGTTAAAGCTTCTGTTTCTTCTGACTGCTTATCCTTCTCGCCTATGTTCGGATTGAGGGCTCGCTGTAGACACTTGCCCAGATGGATGCCACGCCTAGGACGACCACATCGGCAGATTTCCAAAAGGTTTTTGTGCATTTCCGGTGAAATGGCGTGGGGTGAGTCTTTACTGTCTGGCACATCTAAAACATCGAAATTGAATTTAGCTGTAGCATAAAGTCTTTTAATTAGCATACCTTCTATTTTTAGTTTCTGCTTTAGCTGGTTCTCCAGCTCATCTTGATGATAGAACTTATTGTTTTCGCTCTCATCAATTTTGGTCCAAACATGGGGATAACTGCTACGTGATTTGTGTTCCATGCGAACCATCTCCTTACTTTATAGAACATGATACAAATCATTATTTATCTTTAGAATGAATATCAATTGAACATACACTCGACCAATAATCTTTATGGGATCCATTTTGATGTTGTCCTGGTGGATGAGAATTGTGTACTGAACTTAAACAAATTATGCATTTGCTTTGGAAATATTTTTCCATAGCAACAAAAATGCATATTGGGGTGGTTTTTAGTTTTGGAAATAAAACAGGCATCCCTAGTATCGACTATCAAATCATTCAAATAAAATATGTTGAATTTACAAAATCGTTAAAATCATAACTTTATCCCATTTGTTTTTACTATAAACACTCAAGATTAATTAATGGGAAACAATATATTGAAATGGGTTAAGTGTCTGAATAATTTGTCAACCAATATTAGAGCAATTTAAAATGATGAATTGTAGTTCAACCACAATCCTAAAAAACTCATATATCTTAATTGAAAAGAAAAGTAATTATTGATTGGTATTCGAGGATTTCCATGATTCGAGAAAAAAAATTACAAAAGGGTGTAGGTTAGTAAAAGTTAGAGACATAAAAAATTGCGCGTGACTTGGTCATTTCAAGGACTATCCGGTTGACCTTTGAGTCACAAAAAGTCATTGGCCTGTCGATTTAAGTAAAACAATAAAATGGACTAAAGTTCTAAAAACATTTAATATAACAGGACTTTTTTAAACAGAAATTTGCTTTCAACACTTTTAGTTCCTTGTAGATCCAAGCTGTGTCAGACAATTTTTGACCAGAGCAACCAACTGGCCAAAAGACGTCAAAATATACCTTATATTTTCCACATATACCCGAGCACCCCGCGAGTAAAGTTTTTCCAAGAGTTTGGGTCCTTCAGTGAGCCCATAAACTTTCAATGCAGTTTGATAGAGTTGGTCGTTGTGAGGGCAACACACTATAAACTTTGAGAATCTGTAGCCAAGAAACAGCTTTTATTACAAGCAACCCATATTTTCTTGACATCCCTAAAAGTATGCAGCATGTATTAACAAACGATTCTCCTGTGCGCGGACCAAAAGTATGCAATAACTTTTTCGACAAACTTATTTTCAGCTGAATAACTGAAAAGCCAATAAATATGCATTATGTTTATTATCTACTCTTGCATATGCTATCAATGAATAATGATTTATACGCTTAACAGATACAGTTAAAGTATGAACAAGATTTTAAATTTAATTTTAATGAAAATAGGAGCTCGATGATAATTACATAATTAAAATTAAAAAAACATTATTTTAATACGTATATGTACTTTAAATACCTACATATGTATATAATTGATCTGCATATTTACAATATTTATAAATAGGTCGAAAGTCGCGATAAGCCTTATGTCAGTCAATTCGTGTAGCTCGTCTCCCTTCTGCGCGCAGTCAGCTTATCGCGTTAGTCACCAGCTGTGTTGGGGGAAGCCTTAATCAAGTAAAGAGTCTAAGCTATGCCGATGGCTGATGTAATCCAATGCGCGCGATTGCAGCATCCATAGTTGAATGTTCCAGCTCCACTTCGTGCAGAGATTACTGCAATCTTTTAGGTGGCAGCCATCAGTAAGGTGACATTGCTGACGAGGGCAAGTGGAGGTGGCACTGTGGTGGCAATCATCAGTTTATTTTGCCGACAGATAATGGCATCGTCATGGAAATAAGCCAGGTACAAGGATGCTAAAAGGGTCAGCGTAAATGTCAGCCAGAGGCAGCCAAAGCACAAACGGCGCACTTTCTGCCACCAGGGATCCCGCCCGAAGGGCAGCAGTTCTTCCAGACTCAGTCCATACGAGTAGCTGTCGAAAAATGTGTGTATAAAAATGGCGGGGGGATGGCTCTGTTATGAAGTTATTATTTAATGAAATGCGACAGTAAAGCGTTTACTCAGCAGTTGTGAAAATGGGCTCATAATCCTTTGGATCCTTGCCCAGCGGCACGACAATGATGTGCGCCTCTTGATGATGTCCTTGCTGCAGCTGTTGTTGTTGTGTTTGTATTTGCTTTCGAGTCGACAGCAGCGCAGTACTCTCATCGCAGGACATTTTCCTCCTCTCACGATTTGTCTGTCTGAGACCAGGGATTACAAACACTCCACTGAGTGGACGACCTGCTGCTCTGCTCCGCTTGCGGACAATTGAAATTGGCGTCTGGTTTGGCTTTCGCTTTGTTTCAACTGAAATTAGCTTTCAGTGCGTCGCAAGTTTTATTGTTTTATTTTTATTGTTTGCCTTTTTGTTGAATTTTTCCAGATTCCTGTAAACAACTTTATCTCGATTGTTGCATTGTTGTTGCTGTTGTTGTTGCTGTTGCTGTCGTTGTCAGAGTCGCTCATCTTCCGCCTCCAGCTTTTAGCACTGATTTCTGTTATCGTACACACAGAAAAAGCGGTGAGTTTTTTTTTAAAGAAAACTTAGTATGAAGGCTGTTAATTTTAAAAGTTCTTCAGTCAATATTAATTTCCTTTTTTTATTAAAAATATCAAGAAATGCGAATTTAAGTTAAGGACAAAATATATTTAATGAATATTCTGTACTTGTACTTGATTTTGTTTGATTGTGTTTAGGTTAGCATTTTTCTCCGAGTGTTTTAGTCGTACTTGTCTTTTCGGATGGCCTGCAGCTGCCGATGATTGCATAATAGCAGTTACCCGGTAATTGTCGCCCAGTTTCCAGTGACAAACCCCACAGATAAGAGCCAAACAGACGCAGATAAAGAATACAACGTTCTACTTACAAAGCACAATTTTGAGTTGAAGACATATGTAATTGTTTTTTTTTTTTTTTTATTATTAATTTTTATTTTCATTTTATTTTGTTTGGGGTTAACATGCTTGGAAATACATATACTTATAGGTAGTAAGTATGTACTTAACACTTTTGGGCTTGGGTTTTCTGAATAATGCTGAGGGATTCCCTAAAAATTATCCTATATACTGTAAATATTGTAGCTAAACACCAAGTTCATTATAAATAAAGTGCATAAATACGATTATGGATAGTATGTGTGTATATAGATGCTTTAGCCAGGGTTCTTTTATTTGGCCATCGACTTTGACTATGTCTGGGAATTTTCATTGTTCTCGTTTATTTTTGGAACCCTGGTGCGTACTAATACTATGAATAGTTATTATTATGTTTATTGTGAATTGTAGTAAAGGTTTTCTGTATTTAAGCGGCACATCGTTTTTTTTTATTTATTTAGTTTTATGCTAATACTAGATATTTTTAACTATCGCGTATTTTATTCTGTATTTAAAGTGCGGCTGTCATTAATATTATTATTATTAGCTAGAATATATGTATATACTATTTTTTTTTTTTATAAAAATGTAATGAAAAGTTTGAATCCAAAATACATCTTAACAAACATCAAAATGATTAATTATATATTAAATATTCAATATTAAATATTCAATATCTCTGCTTAGCTATTACAAATTTCTTATGCCCCAATTAACTGAAATATAAAATAAAACTAAGATTAGTAAATTAGGGAAAATTATAAAAATAAAAAATATTAGATTATAAATCTGTATTGGTTATGTTTATATCATACGCTTATTGAACTCTTTCTTGCTCAGCGATCATCATCATCATTAAATTAGATGCTGCTCTAACTCTATAGAAGTACGTACCTAAATTCTATATCGGAAGCACTTTACTCGTTTTTATTTGCCTTTGCCTTGGAGTTAATCAAATATATATATGAATGTATGCCTTATGTGTAGTGTATGTATGATAAGACTACATAATTAATTGTTTAATCTGCTTTCATTATTACTTTTGGACTATTCTATGCCACACTTCTACACTCTATTTGATTTGCTTCAACAACATTAACCTGATTCTGGAACGACTTTACTGAGTCGCCTGTTAACTGCATTTATATTCTGAATATACGGAATTCATAGGAAAATCGTTCTTGTTCGTATTATATTTTCTTTCGGTTTGTGAATGGGTAAATATTCGAAAACAAAACCACATAATTGAAATAATTGAAAAATTCAATTTAATTTTCGGATCTTACAGCAAAAATTGATAGATGTAATTTCATTAAATACATTTCTCGACTATTTCATAACTTAATCGTATTCGATATTTATCATATTGGGTATATAGATTTGGCGCATTTTTCCATAAAGTTGTTTTTGTTGTTCTATGATCCTAAGTTTAAGTATTTAGTTTTTGATTATTGGGTATTTTATTTTGGTATTAATTCAAAATGTTTTTTTGTTTTTGTTTTATTAAAAAATAGAATAACATCATACAAAAAATACATTCGTTTAACAAACTTTTGGTGTTATGTCTTAATCCTTTAATTCTTCTTGTTGTTTTTTAATTATCTATCATTTCAATAGGTGACAAAGTAAAGAGAAAGTCTTTCAAGTAAGTAGATTTCATGTAGTGCAGTGTAAATAACACTGATGGTCGTACTAAAAGTGCCGCTTTTCGATTGGTCGGAGTTTGAGTTGTGTTGTGTATTAGTTTTAGTTGAGTTTAAATTTAGTTTGCTCTCTACATATGCAGTGGAAACAGTTGTTTTTTGTCTAAAAGTGCGGTTGACTAGTTATAGTTCCTGTTGTAATAAGTAGCTAGCTCGTGAGCTGAAATTTGTTTTGGTTTTTGTTGTTTTATATTTAAAGAATAGCAGTTCTCTAGGGCTTACACATGTATTAAATTAACAATGGCTGATTGTGACAATTAATGGAGAGACAATTTATCAGTTATATGTATGTATATATATATAAATAGATATTAAGTACAGCTATAACAAACAACAATGATAATAATAATAATGACTTAAATTGCAATTAAGAATGATATAACACATACACAATTCGTAAATATCGTAAATATCGTATGTTGTATATATCGTATATTGTAAATGACATAATATATATATGTATATATGTATGCATGTATTTATGTAATAATTATGAATGATCACGTTGCTTGTTTGCTGAGCCCTGGCAGCCTTTCTTGTATTTACATATAAGCATTAATTATCTAATCAATATAATATAATTGAATTAAACTCCTTTAAAAAAAGCCACATCTAGAAACTAATTAAACATTATAATTTTTAATATTAACATAAATTTTACATAACTATATCAATATTTATATATCATAATAACATACATAAATATTTGTTTACACATACAGCATATAGCATTAAATATATGTTATTATAATATAGCTCAATCTGTTTATAAATAAAACTTTCGCTTATGCAATTTGATTATTGTTACAGCTTCGCTACAGCTATTAAAAATGTGTGTGTGTGTTTGTGGTTGTGTGTGTGTATTTTCATTGTTTTAAAAAATTGTTTCTTTTATAGATATATATTCTGCAGGGTGTGGGGGAAAGCTGCTTAAATCAAAATGACATCGTAAGCCTCCAGTGTGCTCATGAGCAGATACATAACCCACAGGGCGAACAAAATCGATGCATGTATCCATTTCGCAGTAACGGGTCCACCAAGTTCGCAACGAATATTTTTGTTAAATCTCCGATACATCATCACGCAAACGGCAAGGATTGCCTGGCAACAGAAAAGCGCCACCGCGAAGCCAATGCTACGGGATGAATACAATTGGTAAGTTTGTGGATAAGGCGAAACGATATCATCATCATCATCATCATCTGGATGGAACTTACGTGCCCGGTTCCACATTGAAGGTTGTGCCATGGGCCATGTGATAGATTGATGCAATGGACCACGCCAGTCCAATGCCCAGGAACACGTTGACCGCATTGCTGCCAGTCACATTTCCGATGCAATTATCGGCGGTATCGTCCTGCTTGGCGGCAATGATGCTGGCAAATGTATCTGAGACACAAATAAACTGATCAGTATCTAAACGGCTTAAAGCTAACTTCAATTAACTGGCTACCTGGTATACTGGTGCCCAGGGCCACAAAGCAAATGGCCGTAACAGAGTCCTTGATATTGAGCACACAGCCAAAATAGGTGGCTGCATCTCCAATAAGGGCAGTGAGAGCGCCAATGACGGTGATTGAAACTACGAAGGTGACATAACCACCGCATATATCTGTCAAAAAAAATAATAAAAGTTTAGTTTGTTATAAATAAAAATAGTTAAAATATTTATGACACTATAAATCTCCTTTTAGTGTTAGAAAATTTAGTTTATATTATTTAAAGAATATTCCATAAAACACTATAAAAAAGGTTCAAGAGAAAAAATAATAAAAGCACGTAAAAAAATGATAAACTTTTCGACATTTTTTTAATATTTTATTTTGAAAATTACCTGTGGGCGGCACAAATGCAAATAAGACCTTCCAGAATAGGCAAACGAAATGGCTGATATAGTCGAAGCATTTGGGAACATCCTCTTCACCATCATCGTCGTTATCTATTTCACTCTCATCAGCTGCAAATGATTGTAGCGTATGGGTTTTGGATAATTCTATTAAATGACGGCTTACCTGGCACCACGGTGAGCGCATCCTTGAACTGTTCCTTCCAGGAGGAGGTCCCCAGCACAGCTGATACATTGGCCCTGGCTACGAGCTTGTCCACAGTAGCCTATGGAATACAATTGCCATTTAGCGTTAGCCCATTTTCCTTAAAAGGTACTGTTATGCATATCAAGTATACGCCCCCATGTGCAGACAGAGAGACAGGCAGACAGACAGACAGACAGACAGACAGAGACAGGAAACAAAGTATTTCATTTGAAGACTTGCACAATTAGGTGCTTATTTGCCTTGCACCTGAACAGGTGTATGTTGTTAGCACAGGGCTGCCAAGGAAACAACTTGACACCTGAGACCCTTTTTCTACATACTGCAGATGTTGTCGTTTATTGTTAGCAATGTTGTTGGTGCTGTTCTGGCTTGGAGTGTTACAGCTACAGCTTTGGCCATTAAGCCAAGTATAATGTGGCAATGGGCCCAGTGATCATTATATAAATATGTGTAGACGTGTGTCTATTTGTGTAGTTAAGTCGTCAGTGTCTGATTTCCTGTCTGTGAATGGGTCGAGCTAATAAGCTGTTGCCATTCCATTAGCCAGTTGAGTTGGATTCAGTAAAATAAATATTTTATTTTATGAAAATATCCCATTTTTAAATATTATGTAATTTTTTTTTATCAGAATCTTAATTCGTTTTGCTGCGAAGAGCCCAGCTTAAGAGCAAAAAGGCTGAAAATTTGCACAGACCCGTTCTAAAGTCGGATATACACATATGTATCTAAATGGCTATATATCGTATAAGCAGCTGGTTACCTTGATTGAATACTTGCCTTGAATTCCTGGCTCTCACGAATGCGTATGGTTGTGGTAGTTAGTTCTCCGCATCGGGGCTTGCTCAGCAACAAAATGCGCTCCAATTCGGTCAGTTCATTCACTGGCTTCTCTTCCACCTCCTTGATTTGGGCTAAGAGTTCATCATCTGTACAGCGGCGAAGACAAAATTGTAAAACAGTTAACAGACAGAATACTAAAGACTGCCACAACAAGCCAGTCTCAACTTAAAGGCTGTGTTTTTGCAGTTTACTTGGTTGAGTTCGATATTAACTACACACAAATATAACTCCACATAGAAATAGACATAGACATAAGTTGCAATTTTTGAGTGCATTTCTTGCCTAGGAATTTTGGTAAAGCGACAGAAAAGAAAATCGAATTTAATTTCAAGTTAAACACAAGAAATGAAAAAACACCTACACATAGACAAAGACGGAGAAAGAGCTAGAAATGTGAAGATGGGGAGACTTGCACAGATACAAATTAAGTTGCAAAGTTGCATGCAAATGTTGCCAATGAATTATGCGTTAATTAATTTTCAAGTAAATGTCGAATTCAATGCATTCTTTATGGAGAAGCAGGCGAGAGTTGGTGTGATTGGTGTTGAAAGTGAAAGAAAGTTGCATGCATATATAAATAACGATAGATAACATGTGTAGAATGCTGATTTGAATGATGACTCACGAGTATGATCTCCAGTTTGATTTTCTAGACAGCGATTAAGTGGCAAGGTACACACAAGTGACAAACAAAATTGTTTTTTTTTTTTTTTTTTTTTTTGGGAGGTTTTTGGGAAAATTAAGACAAAATGTTCATATAGATATTTTGAAATACACTTTATTCACATTATTATTATGATTATTATTATTATTATTATTTTGCTATGTTCAGTTAAAAAAATGTTGTATTTAATTAATGCATTCACCAATTTGTATTGTTTATGTTTATTGAAATTTTTGACTTTTACTTTAGCTTGCCTACGTTACCCTGTTATTATGCAATTGGTGGGTGGTTGGGTGGTTCTCTAAAACACACACAATTAAACAAGAGAAATACATCGATATGGTTAACATAACAGATTGTTTCGAATACGTTATTCTAAATCAAATGTCAGCCGTTCACAAAAAATATTGGCCTAGTTGCAAAAAAAAAAATAAAAAACACACACACACACACACAAAAAACAAAAGATAAAAATACATCAAAATGTCTTCAAAAATATTGGTTTCAAAATTAATTGTCGTGTGCATTACTTACAAATCGATGTTTTGACGATGTTAGTTGCGAATTCGTATAACGATTTGGTTCATATATATGATATTCGATGATATCGTGTTGAGAGAGATATCGGGGCACAACAAACAGAAGCGGGCACAAGCGCGTGTTACAACAGATGTGTTTTTTATTTTTTATATATATGTCCACCGAGCATAGAAGGTTACCAACAATATGTTTAGCCCAATTTTGGCCAATTATTGCAGCTAACTTTATTTCAATTGAAGACGAAACGATTTCTTTGTTTTTCTATTTGTTTTTCTCTTTGTTTTTTTGAGGCTGATCCTTAACTTTTGTGTAGCGTCGAAAAAGCGCAAAAGTTCTTTTTTTCATTTCTCTTTTTCATGCCAATACGTGTCACACATACATATACGAAACTTACACACACACACACAAAATACATAATATATTTGGGGATGCATACGAGACGAGTATACTTTTGATGAAACGAATAACAATTACTAATGAGAGTATGCCTATTGAAGTTTGTATTCGACTAATGTGTGAAGTGCTCAAACCAATGTACAAATATTATGTTTTTTGTTTTTTATCAGAGTGGTATTTGATCTGATCTTGTAGTTTTTTGTGATAAGAAGCCCCTACAATTTCTGTACATTTCACTTTTAGACATCGCATTTTTCTTTCTTGTTTTTTAATGGTTTTTTTTTTGTTTTTTGTTTTAATTAACTGAACATAAACACTTGAGAGTTTGATGAGATTAGGTTCTTAAATTTACTTTTACCTACCAAAAAATCGATAGAAAAATGATTCCTTATTTGTGTCATCTGCGTGGGGATAATTTGCAATTGCATTGTTGTTGTTGTTGTAGATATTTTGTTGATGTGTTTAACATATACATATACAGGAATTTGATTAGTTTTGTTCAAGAGTTACTTAAATGCATGATTGTGAGTTATTTATTATATTCTAAATACAAAATCAATATCTAAATTTATTAAAAGTGCTAGAGTACGATCTGGTTAGGTGGACAAGTTGGGAACAAGTTGGGGACGTTTGTAATGGTGTAATCTAAATTTCCACAATTAATAAAATAAAATAAGTTTCAACGTGGGCACATGTTTGGTTGGATGCTCTATATCAAATGCTGACAGATGGACCAAATTATTTACAAATTGTAATGAATTTGCGGTTCACTCGTTTTTATTTTTATCTTTTTTATTTTTTTTTGGTTTTTGATTTTTGTCGTGCTGTGTTAAATGTATATGAAATAAGAAATTATTCAAATACGGTTGTCATTCTCTAATTGTAATTTATAAAGATTATCTCTTTGGGATTGCGAAAAGTTGACGGGAATGATTTATTTCCTTTTCTTAACCCATATCCCAGTTGCCTAGACAACAGCCGGAATAATAACAAACAGAAAAAAAGGTTCTAAAGCAACAAAAAGGTAAACACATATAACATACAAAAGGAAACACATAACAAAATTAGGGGTTGATGTTTAAATTATTTTTGTTTGGTTTTTTTTGAGGAAGGTAAAAATAACTAATTTGCACTTTTTGGTCGCAATTTCCACACTTTGTCAAAGAAATGGTCAAAATTCGAGTTAAGAAATTAAGGAATCGAAACCCAACGAATTTTGTGTTGCTTTTGTTGCGCTTTCGTTTTCAATTCAAATAAAATTAATTAATGTACAATTTTAATTTCAAGTCTTACGGTAGTGAGCGGAATCTAGAAGCACAAAGAACAAATAAATGAAAAGACCAAAAAGTATACAAGGAAACCGAATACGAGAAAGTTTACAACTAAGTGTTTGTGAGTCCTCAATCATTCAAATTGGGATTGGCCAAATTCTTCCTTCTTCTTTCGATTTTTTATTTATTTTCATTTGTTTTTTTTTTTGTTTTTTTTTTTTATATTTTTGTTTGTTTGGTGTTTCACGCGAGTGTGTGTGCTGGGGCATCGTTGCGTGTGTGTGTGTCTGTGTGTGGATGTGTGTGTGGATGTCCTTGGTGTGGTTATTATTTTCTTGGCAACAGTTAAAATTGGACTATTAACTTTATTATTAGCGGCACCACAATACCGAAAAGAAATTCATGCCCATTTTTTGCACACTTTTGGGGCTGCTTCTGCTCCCCGGGAAATCCTCCAAGTGCCTGGTCCTTGCGTAGTGAATTCGTGTAATTTGGTTAACAGGAAATTGAGTTTGGTTTGTAACACACGCTCACACACATAGACACGCACACACACACACACACACACATACACACACACACACACACGCACACACAGTCGCATGACACGTGTAAAGATCAGAGTTGAAGTGTCAGGTGACTTGTGTGTGTCATGGTTAGAGGGGCATGGGAAGGGGAGTCTGCCTTTGGTGCTATTAAATTGAGTTTTAATGTTGTCTGTGTAGTTGTTGTTGTTGTTTTTGTTGTTGTTGTTATTGTTGTTATTGCTTGTGTTGGCAAACTTACCTGGCGCCAGTTGCGGCTCGCCAATGTGCACCTTGAATTTCACATCCTTCTGGTAGCTGCTCTCCTCCAATATGGGTATGGATATATGTTGCCTGCGAAGGGATTAAAGCACAATGATTACAATCTTATGACCATGCACATTCTCTATTATTATGATAATGTCTTGAGGCTTAAATCAAATTTATTCAGTCACATTGCGTAACATTAGTATAATGTGTATAGTAATTGTCCAATAAGCGCCTACGAATGCACTCAGCAAAACATTGTTGAGAATTTGGTCAAAAAATCGTATGTCGAATGTCTTACTTGTTGTGCTTTAACTGTCAATTTGTAATTAAAGACAAATTTATATATAATTAAGAAGAGTTAAGTAAAAATTGTATTCCGTTTGTAACTACATTTTCGCTGAGTGCACGATTTGGCTTTGCAGACACAAGCAAAGAGTCACATTGATTAATGGACTTTGTTGTGGCTAAACGGCCGCAATCCCGACACTCGAAACAACGTTAGGAATTTATTAGGCGGCATTAATAAGACTGTCACCCAGCACCACCCAGAAATGTCCCATCAGAAGAATAACAACAGGCAGCGAGTAAAATCAATGCGTGCACAAAAATAACATATACAAAATCACGCATACGCACAATGTACTCTCATAAATATGCGCATTATTCAACTGTGCACCGACAAATGCTTTGCTTGGTGCAAACTGAATTATTGGAGCAATACAGAGAGCAGAGACAGAGACAGAGAGAGAGGCGGCGGGAAAGGCATGGCATTTTGCTTTGTTTTCATTTGATTTGGCATTGTGCCAAACAAAAGGCAAACCCATTTTATTATATGCCACAAGTTGTTTGCTTTTGGCCCAGGGGCATAATTTGTTGGCTTCCCTCACATCGATAAGACTTGTCAAATGTTGAGAGCAACAACAACTACTCAACTTTGTTTGTTAACTGATTATCATTTATATTTTTAGCTAAGCGAATCGATGTGGAATTTTCAAGGAATTTATTAAGTCAGATTGGCAAAATGTTAATGCCAAAAATAATTATATACCTAATTTTTCAGTTGTACTTTTCCACTACTTGCTTTGGCATCAAATTCAACTTTCGCATTTCGTTTCAGTTTCAACTTTCACCTTTTCCTGCGTTGTGGTTTGGGTCATGTGGTTTACAAGTTTTATTTTGGTTTTATATATTTATTTTATTTGATTTCACTTTTCTCTGGAAAAGCCACTAAGCGAAACGGTGTTTTTTACTCTGACTTGTTGCCAGCGATAGTGTGGCAAGCTTAAAGCCTGCAACGTGTGTGGTAAAAATCTTTTTTTTTTATGGCAACTAGTTTTCATGACTCACATAAATTAAATGCGGTTATGTGCTACATGCATACATACATAAGAATTCCACAGGCAAACTTCAATAAAAAGGAATTTGCTTTTCTTTTATTTTTTGAAGCTTTTTTGTCTTTTCGATTTTAGCAATTATTTATTATCATTCCATTTTTTTCTCAATACTAGCAAGTGCGCAATTCGAATATATATATATATATATATATATTAGTCCTCGAAGTTGAGTGCGAATTTAGACAATGTTGATAAGATTAGATTTAGTTAAGAATTTGTTAAATTTCATAGGAACTTATTCGATTAATTATTTTGCTTACACTTGCACAGGGTATCATTATTTTGTCATGAGATGTGTGACGCCTGAAATCAGTAATCTTCAACGGTATCGGTAAAACGCTCCCTTAGAAACAAGGCACTCAAAAAACTATATATCAGCGAGGCTCAGCAATTGTTCATTAAATCAAATACAAATAAATAATAAAGCAATCTTTTTTTTTTATTCCATTCCCGTGAGGTTCGTTATAGAGCAGCTTGTCTGTATATATGTATATAAGTATATATCTAGCCAGCTCACTCAAGAATCCGATTCTTTGATTCAGCCAGATTTCTGATTACGTTTTCATGCCTTTGGCCTCTCCTTGAACGAAAAACCCACACTCGGCCAACGAAAAACAAACACATTGCTTTACACATACAACATTTCACGTGCTGATTTTAATGGTGTGAGTCCGACAAAAAAAATATATAAATCCATAAATTTTTGTTGCTAATAGTTGGTGTTGGGTGGCAATCGTAAATAACGACACGAGTCGGCGGGGGAATTAGCCACGCATTAGATTTGGTCCGATTTGCCGATAGTCCATTTAGTCCAGCCTACCCGTATCTTATCCGTATCGTAATAGGAAGTTGTGCCAAGTACGAGAAGTGTCCAGTGCACACGCGAGCAACAGTCTTTAACAATATGTTGCTACAGACCAACGTCGTGATTGTGATCGCTCTGCTTTTCACCGGCTGCTATGCGGCACCAGAATGTACAAGGAGTGCCGAGTACTGCAAGGATCGATTAATGCATCCGGATTTGGAGGAGACCAAGGGGCAGCAGCAACAGCAGGGACGTCGTGTGGATGGTGAAGAGACGACTGCCTATTGGCGTGAGCATGGCATCAACTTTGTCAAGGGAAAGCTAGGCGAGAAGCTGAACAAAGGCAAGGCTAAGAATGTTATCCTGTTTCTCGGAGATGGCATGGGTGTGACAACGACCTCGACGGCGCGAACTTTGCTGGGTGGCGAGGAAAAATCGCTATCCTTCGAGCTATTCCCACACACTGGTCTCTCCAAGACCTACTCCGTGGATCTAATTGTACCCGATTCGGCCTGCACAGCCACTGCTTACTTGTGTGGCGTTAAGGCACAGGAGGGCACCATTGGTGTCAATGGCTTCGTGCCGAGAACCGACTGCAAGGTCATATTGGATAAGACCAACTACGTGGATTCCATTGCCAAGTGGGCCATGGATGCGGGCAAGTGGTCGGGTCTGGTGACCACCACCCGTGTGACGCATGCCTCTCCAGCAGGTGTCTATGCTCACACTGCCGAACGTGACTGGGAGAACGATGCAGAGGTGGCGAATGATTGTGGCGCCAAGTCGGGAGTGGAGGATATCGCGTATCAGTTGATCAACGGCGAGGTTGGCAGCAAACTAAAACTGATCCTTGGCGGTGGACGCAAAAATTTTGTGGACAGCACTTTGGTCGAGTGGGGCAAGCGCATAGATGGCTTGAATTTAATTGAGCAGTTCAAGGCGGAGAGTACCAAGAATGTTTATGTTGACACAGAGCAAGATCTGATGGACTTGGACGTGACCCAGCCAGACCGAATTCTAGGTCTCTTCCAGGACGATCATATGCTGTACCACATGGAGACCAACGAGAGTACCACACAACCCACCCTCGAGCAGATGACACGTAAGGCCATCGAATACATGAGTCAGAATGATGAGGGTTACTTTCTGTTCATCGAGGGCGGTCGCATCGATCACGCGCACCATGACAACTATGCCCGCATGGCCCTCGACGAGACCGTTGAGTTCTCCAAGGCGATTGCGGCAGCCCGCGAACTCACCAACGAGGAGGACACCCTGCTCGTGGTCACAGCGGATCACTCCCATGCCTTTGCCTATGCAGGCTATGCGGTAAGTTGAGGGCAGAGAGTTGAGACTTATGTGGCAACTCTATTTGCTGAGCTAGCTATAATAATTTGGTTTGTCAGTTATTGTATAGCATTCTGAAAATTCGCTCTTTAGAATATTACTATGATTTTTGGAATAATTTCACATTTTGATTTAATCCAAGAAACTCTTGCTTATTTGCCTTATTTACTATATTCGATATTATTCTATTGACAGAATCGCGGCACTGATGTATTTAGCAAAGCGCCTGTAATTGGCAACGATGGCATACCGCACATGATTCTCAGCTATGCGAACGGACCAAGCGCTGTGAATTTCTATAAGGCTGAGACAAAGGAACGCGTCGATCCCACCACAGTCGTGACTGGGTCGCGGTACGATGAGTTCCCAGCTGGTGTGCCACTGGACAGTGAAACCCATGGGGGCGATGATGTCCTCGTCTATGCTCTGGGTCCTTGGTCGCATTTGTTTACGGGTGTCTATGAGCAGAACACGATACCCCATATGATGGCATACAGCGCCTGTCTCGGCGATGGTTTAACCATTTGCAGCCAAACTAAATCATGAATCCTTGAGCGTGACTGAGACTCATCACAATTAAGTTTGTAGCCTATTAAAATCAGCGATTGCACTTGAGATGTTGTTGCTGGTGGGTGCACCTTTTGCACTTATTCTTGACGCTCCTCTTGCCTGCTGTTTCTCCTTATCATTATCCTTGACGTATACTTAATGCAAATTGTAAATTGAATTAAAGAGAATTTCTACAAAGCTTCGTTCTGAGCTACCTTTTCCTGCCTTTTCCGTGTAAGCGGAAAGTACTCTTGGCCAAGTTTTCACATTGAAACTACACTGAAAAAAATTGGCTAGGATAAGTCAAGCTTGAGCACTTTAACATAGTCTCATCGAAGCCACAAGTAGATCTAATAAAGATTAAATGAATTTTGCTTGCTTCGTTGCTACGTTGCATGTTGTCTTCAGAACTTTTGGACATATTTTACGTCATTTATCGCCAAATTTCGTGCATTATTTCTCTGTGTATGAGCAAAACACTTCTAACCAAGTTTTATAATAGAAACTAGGCGCTCAACTCTGCCGTGCTCTAACTTGCTCTCAAACTTGCCAGTAATTCCTAATTTTAAACTCATCAAACTAATGGTGTGTGTGTACCTGTGGTATATATATATATATATATATATATATGGAGGGTGGGTGCAAGCATTTGCTATTCCCTTGCGTGTGTGGTAAAAGTTTTGGCCAGCATTTGGGTAAAGGTAAACTCAAACACACATAGAAAAAACCGAGAACAATTTGCATTTTTGTGCGCAATTTTATGCAAAAGTTTTTGACTGATTCGCCCTCGAGTTGCAGGCTGTATTTATTTATTTGCGTATTTGCATTTTACATTTTACATTTAGCATTTTGCATATGAAATCCATGGGTAATTGCAACAATTAAAAGTTATGACTCATTCTACGTTCAGCTTGTCGTTTGGCCTTCGTGGCGTATGAATAATAATTTAAGGACTAAATACGCCACACGATGCATTTGTCAATTTTCTAGTCTCTATTTCCGATTCGATTGAGAACTAAATTATATCCGTCATACCCTTACGAGCAGACTGCTTGTCTGTGTGTGTATGAAAGTCTCATTTCCCCTCATATGTCAGCCTTTAAATTACCAACAGCGTACACCGAAAGAAAATAATGAGTAAATGTGTACTCAAAACATTTATACTCAAATTCTTAGTATTAAAAAAAAATAGTAAGAAGTTTACTTACAATTTGATCGAGAATACTATAAAAAACATATCTCAAATTGATCTCTAGCAACTTAAATGTTTGCACTCACTTTTTTTCTGTGTGTAAGCACTCAACAGCTTTGCAGTTCTTTCCACCCCAGTCTATTCTCGGCATTCAAAAGCTAATTTCGCTTTCACCCGTTGCCACTTTGGCCACATTGCCACTCTTGCCACTTCCGCCGTTTGATTTCAATGACGTCTGCAGCCATGTTGCGCTTGTTGGTTAACGCACTGACTATTTGTTATTAAGCACTATAGAAGCACACACACACACACACACACACACACACACACACACCATAACACACACACCCACACACACATAACAATTTTATGTGCAGAAGTGCTAAAACGGCTATTGATTTTGAGACCAACAACAACAATGTCTGTGACCATCAATTCGGGGACTGTGACAAAGTCAAAGTCAATGCTGCAAAGCGTTGCAAGTGCAGCTTGCAACAATGCCACATATGTACATACACTGGTATTATGCTCGGTGTGGCGACCAGTTAGAGGCAGCCACAAAAGTGATTCCACTGAAAATGCAAATTAAATTTTTTTGAGTATTATGCAAATGTTCATTTTCCACATTCAATTCGATTTAATGCAATATCGTCGTGAACATTTGAATCAACTGATATGAAATAGCAGAGCGCTGGAAAAATCTCAATATGCAGTCAAGTGGATTACGCTATTAATCCACTTGAGAACCCTTCTTGCTCCTGCTTCTCATTTGCTCATTCTCTTTGTGGCAACAACCCAAGTTAACTGCCTCAATTACCTGATCCGTTTATCGCATGCAAAGTGATGCACAGTGGTTTCCATTTCAATATGCTCAGACATTCGTTTTAGACCTACCTGGGGAAAAGCATCCTCTATACACAACTATACCCAGATAGAGAGAGAGTGAGAGAGAGAGAGACCGCAATAACAAACCAACACAAGTCATTCATGCGGGTTGGCAAATGCTTTAAAATAAAATTAAACTAAAATGAGGAATGAGCACTCACACACAAGTCCCCAGCGACAGACGGGATTGCCGCCAGGAGTGGATGCCAACTGACCGCCAACCAAAACTAAGCCACTAATGCAATGGCTAACTTTTGCGTCGACCCAACCACACATACAAAAACTACCCCCGTGAATAGCTTGATTTTCATACATTTCTCTCTACACTCTTGCAACGGGTATTTAGAAATTTTCTAGAATGCTGCTACGCATTGATGGAGCCATCTTGTGCCCTGTTGTGTTGTGTGTTTCCCTTTACGTAATGAAACGTACATGGCAACAATATGATATCAAAATCGGACATCTATATTAACAGCTTCCAATCTGTCGAACTTCATAACTTGGTAACATCCTGACCCCGGCGTTGTGGTGCACAATAGATTGTCTTTGTTATATAAAATATAGTGTATATTGTACCTGGCCTACAAGCGCATTAAATCTTTGGCGATCCGCAGATAAAATTTGATTTACTTGCTCTGACTGAGCATATCGTATAATCGAATCGAGTTTGGCTTTGGCGGCCAAAACTTTAGCAATTCATGCCAAAATGGACAAACACAATGAAAAAAGCGACTATTGGATTGTTGGCCGAAAGTGAACAGAAATTTGTTGGAGGCAAACTGTGATTGATTGTGGTAATCCAGTTGAGAGGATATGTGACCGGATTTCTATATATACAAAAAGCGCTCATCGATTGTCAGTGCTGAACATTCAATTACATTTTGTTTGGTTGTGTTTGCCAAGCAGGAAGTTCAGGGCGCAGCTTTGACCTGTCACCTAATTAACTTAATTGAGATTTGATTTGTAATGGTCAAGAGTAATGGGATTGTGGGCACACGTGTTAACGTTTAATCTGCAAGTGGCTCAAGTGTCAAGTTCAGTGTTTGGAATTTTGATGGGCCTACGTTTGATTTTGTTTGCCCTCCGAACAACAGGTGGCGCCAGCTGCTAGAATCCGCTTAGCTGCTCGACACTGCAAATAGAAAGAGCTGCGATTCCACATACAAGCATATATACAGATCAAATAATGTACAACTGACACAACCACAACATATATAGATATATGCAAATTGTGTGTCTGCTGCCAACCAAGTGACACTTGAAGCACTTGGCCAGCGTTGCACTCAACAAATGTGATTTGCACTCGACAAGCGACAAGCGACAAGCGACAAGGGAAGCACAGATGCCTGAGCTGAGGGAGTGGCCAACCAACCACAGCTACACAAGCTTAAATTAGCAAGTGTTTTGCCAGCCATTACAAGGCTCATGCGCTGCCACTTAAAGGCCAAAGTTCAAGTCCAAAGAATTTATTAAATTGGACACGTAATTGTACACATTTTTCAAAATCAATTAGACATGCCACTCAACGATATTTCTCTGAGTATCTCTGCCAAATATTGACACACTGCCAAAGCTCATTTTACATTCATTGGAAAAGTTGATGTAATTGCCTGAGTCTACTGATTGACAGATATCATTATTTGTTTCTACAGTTAGTTACCTAAAGCCATTTTTTATTAGCGTTCGTAGAACTCGTAATCAGCGTCTGTCTGAACAGTGAATAGCTTACGTGCCTTAAAATATCGCTATCTGTAAAGAATTATATATTTGCTCATTTTTCAGAAATTTATAATTAGGTCCAACTGTGAAATATAGCACAAATTGTTGAATTTCCAATGAACTGCATTAAATAAACATGTACAATTTCACAGAGTCAGCCAAATGGTTTTTATTAGGACGATATGTTTGTTTGTTTGCTTTTTTTTGTATACTGTGGAAAAACCCATACATATGCTAAAGCATTTCTAGGAATTGCATATTTGAATAAAATAAATTCATTTTATCAAATTACAAAATCAATTTACCAAGCAATAACGAAATGGTTTCTATTTTGAATAGGTTTCTGTTTTTGACAAAGTTATAAAAGATTTAGCTTTAAAGTCTGGAGGCGACAGTTGTGCTAGTCAATTAAAAACAAAAATTTAACTACAATAATATTTATATATTTTACATAAAAAAATTAGCTTTTCATACAGAAAAGCGATATTAAATGTCCATGTTTGGGAAAAAGCTGTTGCTAAAGTTGCTAGAATTTTTTTCCAGTCTTATCTACTGTGTAAACAAAATGAACATAATACCTTTTAATTACAAGTGAATGCCAAGTTGAATTACAACTGAATAATTTGCTATCATTGATTACTTAATCCGAACCTAAATCAATGTGAACTGAGTTTATTTACACCTCTAATAGCATTATGGACTCCAGCCTTATCTACAAACCCTCAGTGCCGGCAGACAGGTATACGTTTGAGCGATGCAAACGAGTAGATAAGAAATTCGAAATGCACGTCACACAAATGAGATATATGGATACATCATGTTGCATGACGGAGGCAGCGGAGGAGCACTAAATTATACGGGCATTAAAGGGGACAGCGAAAATTATACTTGCTTGAGCGCAAACATCCACTAATTATCGAGGCAGACAATTAGATCGCACACACAACAGGGCAGCGGTGTAAATCGAGCAAAAAGCAAATATCAAACAAAATGCGGGCCAACACGAATATATATATATATACATATATATATATCTAAATAATTATATATGTATCTATCAATTGAAATAGAAGTCAATGTGATTGACAGTTTTTGTTTGGGTTAAAATTACTGATTAGCATATTCCAGCGAATTAACAGAATAATCTGCGGAAAATTAACAGATTTCGTTCAATATTTAATGAAGCAAAAATTTTAATGAAATTGTATATTCATGTACATTTTCTCTATATTATATATATTGTATATAAATGTATATATAAATCGTAATGTAAAATAAAATGTATTACAATGTTATACTTTGGATAAATATTTACAATACTAACAAAGTCTAGCATTTGGCATTTTCCCATCCAATTTAATGATGCGGGAAAAGAAAGATACAATAATGAGTTATTTTTTCTA